TACCGCTCACCGGCAAGTCCACTCAGCTCCACGTCCTCCCGTACCGCATTAGCTCCGTCTCTTCTCCGGCCCGTGCCGCGCCCGTTTAGCCCCCCCTCTATCCGGCCGAATAGAAGCTGCTTGGGCATGCGGTGGCCGGGCACGCGCGCTCCGTGACACAGCCCAAAAGCACAGAGACACAGACGCAGGCGCGCGTGCAGAGAGCAGCTCGGTGTGAGTTTAATGAAGCACGGCGGAGCCACGGCACACCCCCCGCTGGTGCGCGCAGCGAGTCACGAGCGAGAGCGGCCGGGTCCCTTCAGCCTTCACGACCCCCCCCACGACCCCCCCCCCACGACCCCCCCCTCACGACCCCCCCCCCCACGACCGACCCCCCCCCGCGACCCCCCCCCCCGCGACCCCCCCCCCGCGACCCCCCCCCACGACCCCCCCCCCCCCCGTGCGCCACTCGAGCGCGCTCACAGCGAGACGCACCACGCAAAGTGAGAAGTGGGGGGGGCGTGGGGTGTGGGTGCCGGGGTCAGCCCCCCGCACCACCAAATGTCGTCCCTTCGGCCCAGCCAGGTTCACCCTCCTCCTCCTCCTTCACGGTCTTTGTGGTGGTCCCCCCCGCCCCCCCCTTACACAACTGGGCCTCTGCCATCGGGCAGCAACGGAGCAGAGCCGATACCCGGGTGCCGTATCGGAGGTGTGGGTTGGGGTTGGGGGGCTCACGTCGTTAGGGGTTATGGAACAATACGATGGGTCGGATCGTCTGTTGGGGGGGGGGGTCAATGTTTGGGTGGCTAGTTTCACCATTAAGAGGTCAGTATTCTCGATTAGCATCTAGTTCACTAGTTTGTTAGGGTTAGGATCTGGTTGTGAGGTTATGGGGTAGGCTTTTGTTGGCTGGTTAGGGGTAGAGCTATGATCTCGTTGGATAGTTAGGGTTCGGGCTAGGCTCTGGTTAACTAGTTAGGGCTAGGAGCAGGATCTAGTTAGCGCTAGGCTAGCTTCTTCCACACCCCGTTCGCCATTCCCCTCCTCTCCCCCCACTGCCACAAACGCAGCGTTTTCACTTTGCGGTCAGCGCTCCACCGCCGGACTTCACACCGGGTTAATCGTCTCAGCCGCCAGCGCGAGGGTCGACGTGCAAGGGAATAACAAGAAGTGCAGAACGTAGCGCGGCAGGCTCGTGAAGCGGCGGCGGCACAAGCCGGGTTAAACCGCAGACACAAAAAACACCTCGGCAAGGCAACTCTCGATCACCCTGGGGTTATGCTCGGGGCAATCGGTGGCACGGGAAAATAAGAAAGCGCTTGTTATCGCAAAATGTGCAAATGAGGTCGTAGAATATATTCACACCGCAGGCCTGCTTTAGATCGTGGGCGAGGACCAGGGACGCGTCGCGCGTTTCGACTTTCTCAAAGTAATCGGATGACTTGCCGAAGTGTTTGGGAGCAGGGGGGGGGGGGGGGTTGGCCTCGGGGGCAGAGGGTCGCCTGACCCCCGACCCCCGACCCGCGATATGATAACGAGACCAGCGCGCGTGGCTACTGTTATTTTAAAACAAAAGTGTCCGTGCGCGCCGCCCCTGAATAATGTCGAGTCGAGCGCACGGTGCCGGGTGCCACCCAGCGGCGTGCTCACGCGAGTCCCGGCTGGCTGCAAGGGCCATCGCCTCAATGACAACATCGCCAATGTGCAGGACGGCAGCGATTTGACAATCCGGGCCCCAGCATCGGAATGCGGAATGTCCACCAATGGCTGACGGGACCAGCCAACGGGGGGGGGGGGGGGGGGGGCACGATGAGTACCCGCTCGACGCTCACTTGTAGCAAAGCAGCAGTGTTGGGGGCTTCACACGAAATCCACTGCCGGCCGCAATGATTATATTGTTGCGATGAACAAGCAACGGTGGGTGTCACAGCAGCGCGAGGTTGTGCTCTACAGCTTCCGCGTGTTGCAAGGTGGTGCGTCGCGCGTTGTCCGCCGTTCCGCTCCACGTGCCGCGACCTTCTTCAGGAACCCAATTCAGTTGGCTACCTCGGCAGAAGCGGAACGCGGGGCGGAAGACGGGGGGCGCGTCGTGCCAACGACAACGAGAGAGCAGCGCGTGGCGGTGCGACCAGGGGAACGCACGAAGGAGAGCCCGGAACAGCGACGCTCGCGAGCACACAAAAAATTACAGATTCCCTCTTTCAAACTAACATAACAAAAAAATATATATACACCATTACGGAAAATGCTCTATCGCCAATATTTACAAAATAAATGACGCGGCGGATCAAAACACAACGGAAACAGGTAAAAAAAAAGAAAAACCCATCGGAGACCGAACACAAATGTTGATATCGAGGGGCGAGTCAATACGACGATGATTGCACTCGGGAGGTTGTGCGCACGGACAAGCGTTGAGAGCGACGTGAAAGACAGCGGCGGTTCAACCACTGACATTGTTTCGGCCAAAGGAATATAACCAACGTCACCTCACGAAGGTTCAGTGCATTTTAAATCGAGACTGGGTTTCAACATCAGGATTGGATTTACATCTTACCGTCGGAGACCGGGTCTCGGGATGAGCGTCCCGCGATTGAGAATTGGTTTCGTCATCGGTCTTAATTGAGACCCGGCGGCGATTCTAGGAAACTTGGCTTTTGAGATGAGCTCCGATTGACGTTCTGATCCAGGAGACGGAGTTTCAGGATCACAGGCTTGAGACTCGGCTCCAAGAGACCGGGTTTCAGGCTCAGTCTTAAGACTCGGCCCCAGGAGACCGGGTTTCAGGATCACAGACTTGAAACTCTACGCCAATAAATATATTTTGTTTGACACGATGATTGCGTGCTGACAGCAGCAGGGGAGCACAAACCGGGTCGGCGCGCAAGTTCTGCATGAGTACATTCGCGCGCGCGAGTGTGTGTGTGTGTCGCTCGTGTTTATACGTCGCAAATTCGTAGTTGAAACTGCGCACGCGTTCGCGCGCAGACGGAAACAACAAAATACCAAAATGGCGAGCGCGTCAAAAATAAACTAAATTGTATACAACAGAGACACGCGTGCAACACGATCGCAGGCTCACGCGCTCGCACGGCCCGCGAGCCAGCGCCACCGACTCCGCGTCACTCGCCCGCACGCCACCCTGGGCGGCCGTGCGACGGACGCGTCGATCGACGTCCGCTCCCCCGCGTTCGCGACGCACGCACACGGGCAGGGGATCGCGTGCGCGGGAAGGATCGGCGACTTATCCAGCGCGGGCTCACGCCCCGTTGCCGGGCCGCGCCGGTGTTCCTACCGGCGGATTGTTCCCCCCCTCACCCCCACCCCCCCGGCACTCGCGCCCAGCGCAGTTCGCCGGGTTCTGCACGTGCGGTCGACGCGTTCCAACGCGGCCACCAACTCCACGAGAACCGAGAGGGTTGAAGGAGGTGAATCGTGACTCCCCCCTCCCTCCCTGCCACGCCTACACAGTTCAAGTCCGGAGCTTTTCAACAACATACCTGAATAACAATATGAGCCGATAACGTTCCACTGAGAAATGCCCAGTGGAAAGTTATCCATCCTAAAACCTGCACTCCCCGGCGCTGTCCCAGAAGAACTCCTTTTGATTATAATTAAAATGTTTTTTTCGTTAGTTAGTCAAACGTTTCGAGCCAGCGTCCAAGGAATGATACCTCACCCTGGGGCTCCCGGCTCGCCGCATTTAGCCCGGAAAGGGTGGGAGGGAGGAGGGGGGGGACGGCACCCAAAAAACACCAACGGCTCTTCTCTTGCAGCGACGCACGAGCTAAATGTGAAACCTAAAAAGACTTTTAATAAACTGATACTCAAAGCTCGACGGAGCGACGCTAGGAAGCTTCAACATCGCGGTCAAGCGCCAAGTCGTGCCCCGCCTCTCTCTCTCTCCTCTCTCTCCGTCGGTGACGTCACGGCACTGATCGTGGCAAGTGACGTCACCACCGCAGCGGCCGAGGTAGCGGATCCCGAAAGTCACTCGACTCTCTTGAATGCTTTTCTCAACGAAGCGTTGATGCAGCATGCTGCTCGTTTGTCCGTCCGTAACAGGATTGCGGGGGCGGGGAGGGGACACAGTAACTCTGGTAAAGATTATCCACTGCGAACCAAACTTCAGTGTAAAGTCGAGTTGCCGTTCGTGGGACTTTAGCCTCGGGAAGAAAAAAAACCCGGCCACATTTGATCCCAAGGCGTTTCCCAAAACTCGGGCAGACGAAAGACCGGCGCTGGCAAAAGAACGATCTGTAAAACGCACACGGATGCAACCCTTGGCCCCACGGCTGCCAGCCGCTGCAAGTTAAACACGCCGGAAGACAAAGCCCGTACGTTGGGCCGTCATCGACGAAGAGTCAAACTCCTCTCTCCCCAGGGACTCGTAACCCAGGTGGCTGCGACAAGAGAAGAGACGTCCGTTTCACTTACGAGCAAACCCCACGCGCTACGCTAACAACGCCAAACTTTGTGAATTAAGTCCACTGCAAAAAATCCGTGCTCGGTTTAAACCCCTTACAACTTCCCCATCAGGGCTTCCACACCACCACCACCACCACCCAACCACCTCGCGCACAACCTCATTATCATCATCATCATCCTCCTCCTCCCATCCATTCAAGCAGCAGCAGCAGTGGGATTTATTTACAAGGGCGCGCGATCTGCCGGGTTGAGATTTACGCCGCTAAGTGCTCCGTTGGCGAGGTTTGCAAAAAGAAACAAAAGTTGACAAGGACGACGACGACAACCACCACCACTTGAGCTTCGGATCTAACGGAGAAGACAAGGGAATCATCTGCAGCAGCAGCAGCATCGATCAGACCGTGTCCCAACGCGCACGTAGCGACGGGCGCGGAGGCAGCTACACGGCGACCACTTTGTCCACAGACACGGCAGCGAGGCCGTGTCTGGGCGTGGCCAGAGCAAAGTTTCAACTGCACCACCAGCCCCACCACCGCCCTACCCAGCACCACCCACACCAGCACCACCACCGCCCCACCCACCACCACCCACACGACGATCGTAATGATCGTGGCGCCTCGCGAAACGTGTCGCGCGCTCGATGTAACGCGCCGCCGCAAACCGCCGAGCGGATCGACGCTCGGAAGCGCAGCGGCCGACTCGACCGCGCGACCAGTTGCACAGACGTCCACGCGGCAAGCGGTGTCGGTTGCGCGCAATCCGAGTTGCCGGCGCGCGACTCTCCCCCCCCCCCCCACGGACACGCCGAGCGGCCGCCACTGCCCGTGACGCGACGGAGGGCAGCCGCGGCCTGCGGTGACGACGAGGAGGAGGAGTGTCACGGGAGTTGGTGTTTGTGTCGCTCGGCGGCACGCACGTTGCCAATCAAAACTCAACTTGGAGCCGTGAGCCACGGGGTTCCTTGCCGCGCTGGTGGGGGTCAGAGCCGTGGTCACGGTGACCGATGGTGGCGACTGCTGGTCGTGGTGGTCATGGCGATAATATCGATTCTGATGGGGATGGTATATATCCATATCAGTAGAAATGTTATGTATGTTATAGCGGTGGTAATGGTGACATTCGTTATGGCGGTGGTGATGGTGATATTGCTTATGGTGCTGGTAAAGATATTGATTGTGGTGAAGATATTGATTGTGGTGATGGTGATGACGATGAAGACAGTAGTTGCGGTGGCAATGGTTGCTGGTAACGGTGATGATAGCGGTTGCAAGTGGTGTTGAACATTTTGGTTGTTGTGGTGACGGATATCGGCGGGTCTCGGTGTTGGCAGCAAGTGGTTGCGGTGGCACCGGTAACGGCGGCGGCGCCGTTGCCAAAAAGTGACGGTGGCGGTACGCTCCGGCGTCGGCGGCGGTGACACAGCGCTGACGCGCTGACGGCGTCGGCACACCCGCGCCGACAAACACAAAACGATCGGCAAACACTCGGCAAGGACGGCTACGATGGCACGAGCGGGTGGCCGCGCTCGTTCAGGTTGGACACGTTTACGGTCGTAAGCAGCTGCGGTGGTTGTTGTAGCCGTGATAGCGGTTGCAGTTCGGTCTCGGTGGCTGACGACGGCGGTGGTGGTGGTGGCGGTGACGCTGCTGCTGCTGCTGTGGCCGGAGGGCTTCAGGGCAGCGCGGGCTGCGGCTGGCTCACCTTGAGGCAGCCCCAGTAGCAGGCTCGCAGCAGCACGGCCAGACCGATCACGTAGATCAGAATCCACGCGGCGTATATCCCGCGGTGCTCACGCGCCATCTTCTCCGTGCCCACCTGCACGCCGCGCCCACCGCACACACCGCACACACCGCACACACCGCACACACCGCACACACACCCTGGCTGTCACAATCACCATCGTCATCGCCTTGCACGGGCAGGCAAGCCCGTAGGTATGCCCACTCCACATGTCGTCATTGTCACGTGCATTGGGTTCCTTGCGTCTTTTTTTTCCTTAACGACCGAAAGCTGAGCACCCTCTCTCGCCCGACCCGACCCCTTTTTGTCCAGGCGTGGGACTGGCTCAGACATCCACTGGGTTGTGGACACCCCTGGCTCTACTGCCGTGTAAACCAGGGCTCTACACAACAACACTGGCTGATCCCGGTACAGATACCCCGCAGACTTCTCATCAGCCTCTAACTTGCTTCTCAACAGGTGGTTCAACATTGAACCATTGCTTACAGGAGAGTGCCCCCCTATTGATGTCTGGAGAAGCCACATTTCTCATCTCCCCCCCACGCCTCCCCCCCACGCCTCCCCCCCACGCCTCCCCCCCACGCCTCCCCCCCACGCCTCCCCCCCACGCCTCCCCCCCACGCCTCCCCCCCACGCCTCCCCCCCACGCCTCCCCCCCACGCCTCCCCCCCACGCCTCCCCCCCACGCCTCCCCCCCACGCCTCCCCCCACGCCTCCCCCCCACGCCTCCCCCCCACGCCTCCCCCCCACGCCTCCCTCCGCTCCCCCCCACGTCTCCCTCTCCTCCCCACGTCTCTCCTCTCCCCCCCCACGTCTCTCCTCTCCACGTCTCCCCCCCACATCTCCCCCCCACGTCTCTCCCCTTTCTCCTCCCCGCGTCTCCCCCCTCTTCTCCCCACGTCTCCCCACTCCCCCCCACGTCTCCCCCCCACGTCTCCCCCCCCCACGTCTCCCCCCCCCACGTCTCCCCCCCCCACATCTCCCTCCTCCCCCCCCCCCATGTCTCCCCACGTCTCTCCCCACGTCTCTCCCCACGTCTCTCCCCACGTCTCTCCCCACGTCTCTCCCCACGTCTCTCCCCACGTCTCCCCCTTCTCTCCCTACGTCTCCCCCCACGCCTCCCCCGGTGTGGGACCGACCGTGACTCCGGCTCCGATCGCGACAGCAATGAGTCCAAGCACCAGGAAGATGCAGCAGCGTCGCCGTGGAAACCGCCTTCCAATCGACGACCTGATCCATGCACACACACACAAAGACAAAGATCCCCCGTGTAGCCTTAACAGACTGTTAGGGCAAGTGCTGTTCGCAAACACCTGAATACGGGCACGGCACACGAGGGAGTGGGTGGCCAGCACCACGCCCGGCCTCCTTTGGTCCCTAGCTGCTATGCTTACACACTGCACCAGCTACTCATTTTATGCTGAGTCGACGTAGGGGAGGCCCAGAACCGAATCAGATAATCGTCACTTGTGTTGGCCGTTTGCGGGAATCGAACTCAGGTCGCAAGGTCCATTCACGCTAGCTGCTACACTACCACTGTGCACGTGCATGCATATACACAGACAACACACACACACCCTCATACCTACTCATCAGTTAATGAGTGAATAGGCGAATTCGATGCATTAAAAAAGAACAAGGAAAGATTGAATCAGTGAAAAAGTAAAAGATTGTATCGTTAAACACACTATTGAATGAATACAGCAGTAAATTATGGAATGATGAGTGAATTAGTGAGTGAATGGTAAACATCTGAATCCGTGGACAATTGACTCCTTGAACGATTTAAACGGCGAACAACCAAAACAATGAATGACTGAAATGAGTGAATCAGTGACCCAGTGAATCAATGAACGAGTGCACCTGTGAATGATTAAAGCAGTGAATGAGTTACCTGTGAATGACTCAAGTGCATGAGTGAAGCTGTGAGTGAGTGAATTTACGAACGAGTGAACCTATGGATGATTACAGCAGTGAATGAGTCACCTGTGAATGACTCAAGTGCATGAGTGAACCTATGGATGATTACAGCAGTGAATGAGTCACCTGTGAACGACTCAAGTGCATGAGTGAACCTGCGAATGAGTGAATATACGAACGAGTGAACCTATGGATGATTAAAGCAGCCAATGAGTCACCTGTGAAGGACTCAAGTGCATGAGTGAAGCTGTGAGTGAGTGAGTTTACGACCGAGTGAACCTATGAATGATTACAGCAGCCAATGAGTCACCTGTGAAGGACTCAAGTGCATGAGTGAAGCTGTGAGTGAGTGAGTGAGTTTACGAACGAGTGAACCTATGAATGATTACAGCAGCCAATGAGTCACCTGTGAAGGACTCAATTGCATGAGTGAAGCTGTGAGTGAGTGAGTTTACGAACGAGTGAACCTATGAATGATTACAGCAGCCAATGAGTCACCTGTGAAGGACTCAAGTGCATGAGTGAAGCTGCGAGCGAGTGCTGTTACTCACACTTTCTTGCAGTGCGGACATTTGGCCAAAGTGTTATCTCGATACTCGGCCCACTGCGAAAGGCAAAGCAGTCGCCGGGTTAACGACTCGTTATACAAGGCCGTACTTACCCGCAGTTACGGCCTGCAGCTGATGATAGACGTTTCCACGTTCCTATGGCAGGGACCAGTCTCTATCCATTGAAAAAAAATCAAGGATGATGAGCGTCCCCTGTAGTGGTCCTCGTTTTATCGACGCCAAGAGGGGTTGACAACCGAATGGGGACGTTGAATGTGTGCTATGAGGCTGTGAGTCTGAGGCTGTGAGTCTATGAGGCTGTGAGCGTGTGAGTCTATGAGGCTGTGTGAGTCTATGAGGCTGTGTGAGTCTATGAGGCTATGAGGCTGTGTGAGTCTGTGAGGCTGTGAGGCTGTGAAGCTGTGTGAGTATATGAGTCTATGCGTCTGTGAGTCTATGAGGCTGTGAGTTTGTGTGAGTCTATGAAGCTGTGTGAGTCTGCGAGTCTGAGAGTCTATGAAGCTGCAAGTCTATGAGTTTGTGAGTCTATGAGGTTGTAAGTCTAGAAAGCTGAGAGACAATGTACAAGGTTTGTGAGTTGGCTTGGCTGCCAGTCTACGAATCTGTAGGTCTATTGGAGTCTGTGACGCCGTAAGGCAGCGAGTCTGTAGGTCTTTTGGAGTCTGTGATCCCGTAAGGCAGCGAGTCTGTAGGCCTATTGGCGTCTGTGACGCCGTAAGGCAGCGAGTCTGTAGGTCTATTGGAGTCTGTGATCCCGTAAGGCAGCAAGTCTGTAGGTCTATTGGAGTCTGTGATCCCGTAAGGCAGCGAGACTGTGGCCTATTGGCGTCTGTGATCCCGTAAGGCAGCGAATCTGTAGGCCTATTGGCGTCTGTGATCCCGTAAGGCAGCAAGTCTGTAGGTCTATTGGAGTCTGTGATCCCGTAAGGCAGCGAGTCTGTAGGCCTATTGGCGTCTGTGATCCCGTAAGGCAGCGAATCTGTAGGCCTATTGGCGTCTGTGATCCCGTAAGGCAGCAAGTCTGTAGGTCTATTGGAGTCTGTGATCCTGTAAGGCAGGGAGTCTGTAGAAAGCGCCGAAGGCGAGCGTGGTGAGGGCGCGTCGCTCACTCCTCACTCACCATGAACGTCTGGCTGCAGTGTCCGCACACCACACGAGTGCCGAACGGCTGCGATGACTGATTGGCAGCCGCCACCGTCACGGGGCCCAGGTTGATTATCCGCTTGCTGAGTGTGGAACGCGCACACGTCAGACACACACACGTCACACGCACACATGCACACACGTTACACACACACGTCACACACATTGCAAATGCATGTAACACACACCCGTAACACACACACACACGTCACACGCACGTAATGAGCAGCACCTACGAAGGCTGACACGGCACACGAGGGGGTGGGTGGCCGGCACCATGCCCGGCCACCTTTGTCTCCCCGGTGACGATGTTTACGACACACCGCACCAGATACTCAATTGTGGCTGAGTCACCCTAGGGGAGGGCCAGGCCCGATACAGATAATCGTCACTGGTTTTGGCCGCGAGCGGGAATCGAACCCGGGTTGCCGGGTTCGTAGCGCAGCGCTTGTACGCTTGCGTCTGTGAGCGAGCGCTGTACGTGACGGTGTCTCCTCCTCCCGTGCGTGTCCCCGTGCTTGCGTGCCGTTGCACGCCCGTCTCCTCCGCGCACGTGTGTGTGCAGTGTTTGTAAACGAGGGCACTCACCAGTTGGGCCGGGGGCAGGCGATGCGCTGTGACGTCACCTTGCAGATGAGGAGGCAGTTGCACGGGCAGCGCACGTACTTTTTGCCCGGGGGAGCATTCTTTATCGGCTGTGGTAGGGGGGGTGGGTTGGGTGAGTGGGTGGACAAACGCAGGTGGACAACCGGGTTCACAAAGGTCTTGCAGCTCGAGAACATTTTCCCATCACCGATCACCGCGAGCCGCCCTCCCGCCGTACACGCCAGGGGTGTCTCGGAGCGCTGCGCACCGCCGCCGCATCTCGTCTCAACACATTTGTTAGAAAGGGCAGCCCCCGGGCAGCTGCCCCCACCCTCCTCCCCCCCCCCCCCCCCCCCCAGTGCAGCACAAGGAGTCTCAGCACGAAATCACGATTCATTTTCTGGACTGTCGTTTTTTTATTCGGCCAAATTCGGAGCCAAGATCGATCCACTGCTGCACGAAGGCCGTCGCCATCCTGCCCCTACCAACCCCCCGCCGCAACTCCGATGAGCGCCGTTGGCTACGTACGGCGCGAAAGAAGTTCAACACATATACATATATATATACATGGATTCGGGTTTTACAAGACCATATATGGACAACGCTACATTCATTTTTTTTATACGAGCTGATTGATCATTTTACCGGGTTGTCCGATTTTATTGCATTACAGCGTTGTTTCCTTGACGGCAAAGACAGAGATCCCCCGTGTAACCTTAACAGACTGTTGGGGCAAGTGCTGTTAGCGAGTAGCACCTATGAAGGCCGGCACGGCACACGAGGGGTGGGTGGCCAGCACCACGCCCGGCCGCCTTTGTCTCCCTAGTGGCGATGTGTACACACCGCACCAGGTACTCATTTGAGCCGAGTCGATCCAGGGGAGGCCCAGGACCGGTTCAGATAAACCGTCACCGGTGTTGGCCGCGAGCGGGAATCGAACTCGGTTCGCCGGGTTCGTAGCGCAGCATGCTAACCGCTGCGCCACCGCTCCCCACACCCGCACGTCGACACACACGTGGGCAGAGACACGCCCCTACGGGCAACGGCACGCCTACTTTCTCCCACACGTGGGCTGATCGATGATCGGTGATTTGGTCAGGTTTGTCCGATTTTATTGGATTACAGCGCTTTTCCCTGGACAACATGCACGCGCAACACGCATGCAACACGCACGCAACACGTCACACACGCAACACGCACGCAACACGCACGCAACACGTCACACACGCAACACGCACGCGTCACGCACGCGTCACGCACGCGTCACGCACGCGTCACACACGCGTCCCACACGCGTCACACACGCGTCACGCACGCGTCACACACGCGTCACGCACGCGTCACACACGCAACACGCACGCGTCACACACGCAACACGCACGCGTCACGCACGCGTCACACACGCAACACGCACGCGTCACGCACGCGTCACGCACGCGTCACACACGCAACACGCACACGTCACGCACGCGTCACGCACGCGTCACGCACGCGTCACGCACGCGTCACGCACGCGTCCCGCACGCGTCACGCACGCATCACGCACGCGTCACACACGCAACACGCACGCGTCACACACGCAACACGCACGCGTCACGCACGCGTCACACACGCAACACGCACGCGTCACGCACGCGTCACGCACGCGTCACACACGCAACACGCACGCGTCACACACGCAACACGCACGCGTCACGCACGCGTCACACACGCAACACGCACGCGTCACGCACGCGTCACGCACGCGTCACACACGCAACACGCACGCGTCACGCACGCGTCACACACGCAACACGCACGCGTCACGCACGCGTCACGCACGCGTCCCACACGCGTCACACACGCAACACGCACGCAACACGCACGCGTCACGCACGCGTCACACACGCGTCACACACGCAACACGCACGCGTCACGCACGCGTCACGCACGCACGCGTCCCACACGCGTCACACACGCAACACGCACGCGTCACACACGCGTCACACACGCGTTACACACGCGTCACACACGCAACACGCACGCGTCACGCACGCGTCCCACACGCGTCCCACACGCGTCCCACACGCGTCCCACACGCGTCCCCGCTCACCGTGGCCTCGTTGCACACGCTGCACTTGACCACGTGCTGGTGGAGCTTCCCCTCCACGTTGATGAGCGACTGGCACACGCGGCACGTGATCATGGGCACCCCTCCCGAGTCCGGGCTCGTGGTCGGCGTGTACGGAGGGGGCGCCTCGCCGGGGAGGATGGGGGGCGGGCCCCCCGGAAAGCCTGGAAAGCCTGTGACGGGGGGGGCGGAGAGGGAGGCGGGGGGGGGGCAGGGAGACACAAATACAAAGACAAGCCGCGTGGTTTTTCTTAGTGTCGTTAGCGAGCGCCTACTAAGGGCGGCGTGGTGCACCCACCAGCGCCACGCCCGGCCACCTTTGTCTTCCCAGTGTCGACGCTAACTCACATCGTCGACGCTAACTCACATCGTCGACACTAACTCACATCGTCGACGCTAACTCACATCGTCGACGCTAACTCACATCGTCGACCTTATAAGAGGGTCAGGACCGGTTCGCATATCCGCAACCGATGTCAGCCATTGGCCGGGAATCGAATGAGGTCGTCACGTTCGTTTGCGCAGTGCCACCACTCCTCCCTACATACCAAGACAAAGATCCCCCGAATAGCCTCTTACGACTGCCGGGACAAGTGCCGTTAGCGAGAGCGCTTGTCAAGGCCGGGCACGGCACACGAGGGGGTTGGTTGGTGTGCCCTGCAGCATACCTGGCCACCTAAGGCCGAGTCAACCTAGGGGAAGCCCACGACCGGTGCAGACGCAGTCGTGTCTCGACGCCGCACAAAACTAAATTGGAGTGGAACTTCCAGGCGGCTCAGCCGTAGAGCTCACGGCTCACGGCAGTAAGGTTTAGTTCACATCCTGGTTGGGGTGGAGGCTCAGCCCATCATCATCAGCACCCATAAAGTACCACTTTGTGGGGAAGTCAAGAAGAATGTTGTCCTGAGGCTAGACCTGCCCACACCATAGGAATGTGGCATCTCCACCACTGGGTCAGGGCTTTTTCGATTTAATGCTTTCATGACTGCAGGGATTTATTTTATTATTTTATTATTTCCATTCTACGTGACTTTACCGAAAGAACCAAGAAGATGGGTCAGGGCTGTAAACACGAGCAGACGCCTGCACTGCGGTGCAGCTGTATGACTGGGCGGCAGGGTGCAGCAGCATTGATAACTCAACTTGATGCCCCCACAGAAACAAGGACCTGGGTTCGATTACCGACTCAGGAACCTCGCTGTTCTGCACCCTTTGGATTCTGCGGTTTCCTCCCCAGAGCCGATGGAAACACGGACGGTCGATCATCGATTACCCGATGGCTTCGGGGGTGGGGGTTGCCGGATTTTCAAAAACGCTGGGCTATCACTACATCATTATTTTAGATAGCATATTTTTGGACAATCTTAAGTGACATTATTTTTTAGGTGTAATTTTTTTCACGCTTTAAATGCGTTTGCTATGTGAAATTGCCGTAAATAAAACATACAAACTAGACAAAAAAATCGATATCATTCTGTACAAAGTTCCCGTATTCACTGTACCGTGCGTACCACTCGCATCTCGAAGACACTGCACGGGGGGATGTACATACGCCGCTCTTATTTCAACCACAACATGACGATGGTGTGTTTGACGAGTGACGGACTGGTTACAGTCTTCGAAGCGGTTTTGCCGGTTTCGCCGAGTTTGCCGAGGACCACCGGTTCATGTTGGAAGCCGGATAATAGCACGCCGGATCATTTATGATCAACTGTAATGCAAGCGGGTATTGGCTTTAAAAAATTTACCCGTAAAAACAAAGTTTTTCACTATAAATCCTTTATATGCGTGGCGGCTAGAGTTCTCTCGTCCTCCGGCTTGAGATGGCTGCCACCTATGGGTCAGATGATTGCCTGCCACCATTAAGCAATTGGTAATTAAATATAATTTATTTTTTCCTAAAAAGTGTAAAATTTTGGAAAAACTTTTTCACGAAAATCAATTGTTACGCACAACGAGTCTGTGTGCAAAATGTCAGCTCGATTGGATCACGGGAAGTGGGTTAAAAAACGACCGAAAATTTTGCACGGTCGTAAGCGCGCAAGCAAGCAAGTGAACTTAATATAAAGGATTTAAAAATACGTGTCAATGCTGAAAAATGACCGACGGATTACTGAATCGGGGTCTCGGGCGCAGCAACAATATCGCTCTCCTCCTGCGAAAACTTGGCGGGGCCCTGCTGAAAGACAGTCTTGACCGTTTCCAGGAAAACATCGCGTAGATCGTAATTTTAACATTAAATTGCCAAAGCTGTTGCACAAGCAGCATGAACCATCATCACGCAAACTCCGCTCATCCTCGCAGCAGCAGCAGCAGCGGCAGTTTTTGGCTACCCGTCGAATAAAGATGGTCACCGCATCGCGCTGCGCTTTGAGACGCGCTTCTGCGGCCGTCTGGAACGCTCTTCCTTCCGACATTAGGAAGCCATGGGAGCTGTGCACTTTTAAATCATCGCCGAGATTGTAAACGGATTTCTTTCCAACTGCTTTTTCGTGCTCCGTGTTGGTATCCTTTCCCCCGGTGTCTCAGTACCGTGCGAATAAGGCCAACATACGCACAACAAAACAGCTCAGTAAAGGAACACTGTGATTTGAAGCTGCCCCTATTAAGTTTAATGAATAACCCAGTCTCACGGCTGATGACCGCTGGTTCCGTGTAAAATATTTGACTGTGGGGGGGGGGGAGTGGAAGTTCCTGCGAGCGAAACAACAAAGATGTACTTATTCACTTCCTCCAGTTGGCCCACCTTATGGTTTTATGTCCTCTGTGTTTTTTTATCAAAGCCCAATTCTGAGTTAATATGTCGTCTCGCGCGTCAAAACAAACGCGAAAGTACAACCGCTTTTTGTTCCCACGGACGCGTAAAATAAACGCAGACGTCCATAAAAAGATCCGACTGCTTCCTGGGCCTGGTCGAGATGGGCTCCACCTGCTCAGGTGTTCTCCTCCATCTCCTGCCCGGCAACAGCAGCAGCAGCAGCCGACACAAAACTATTCTATTACGGATGTATACAGCGTCCTTTCCAGGGCGCTATAGAATGGAGCCGATGTTGGTCAGTGAGGGAGCTGACGGATGGAGGGACAGGGGCAGGGAACGGAGTTGATGTTGCTGGGCTAGGAAAGGTGGAATAAGGTGGAGTGTGATGGTGGGCGAGGGTGTCTGATGGGTGCAACGTGGACGAGAGGCGGTGGGGTATGGGGCACGTGCGTGAAGTGATGAAATGGGCACGGATGAAGGTAGGTGAAGGGTGGTGGGGGCAGAAGGTCCGGTGGTAGGATAACAGCGTGCTTCAGCCGCACCGAACCTCACAATGGCTCCTCCCACCCTGACCCAGTATATATACAAGGACTGTTTTCTTGGAATTTCTCTTACTTGATGCAGCAGTCGTGCTGTGATGGTTCCACTTGAAGACGGAAGCTTGTGTTGCCTCCGAAACGTCGTGATTTTTATTTTATTTTAATTTTATTAATTTGAATTTTTACCTATGTGACTTTACTGAAAAAACCTAAGAATACTGATGGAGGAGCACAGTGTAGGGCTGGAGGAGAGACCACTTTTTTATATTTTACCAAGTAAGGCCCAGTTTTGTTGCCAAAAAAATGGTAAAAAAAAGGTAAAAAAAAACAATCATCATATTTTGCTACTGGCAAAGGAGGTTCCAATGGTGCAAGGCCCACCAATCTATCCGGCTCTTTTTTCAGAAGCGACCTGGCGTTCACAAATGATAGCTCAACAAAAGTGGCTTATCATCATCACGCGGAAATGTCTAGCAGTAGCTAAATACTCTCAACGCGGGACGCCGATTCTAAATGTGCGAGGGGAAAATCGGAAGCCCATGAGAAAAATCCACACTATCACGGGGAGAAAAGCACGCAAACTCCAAATCTACAGCGGGCTACGTCAGCATCGGCATCGAACCCACGACTTCCTGCAGAGTAAGCGAGGTAGTTAACATCTCCTAGCCACCACCTAGGCAGAAACATTGTCAATCCACGGACAATGTTTCTGCAGGGATGCATAGAATCGCAGTACAATGATGGATGTGGCTGCACCGTCCTCTTCCGTTTCGAGTGGATACATGCCGAATGGTTTTTGTTTTCAAGAAAAAAAACAACGCCACATTGTGAAATTATGGAATGTATTGATGCGCTGAAGCAAAGGGACATCACCTGATCACAGCTCACGTGATTTAAAACGAAGGAATGCCCCACAAGGTGCGCATTCTGTTTGACTTGCTCAGCATCAGCCTCAGAAGGTCGAGCAGCCAGCAACAAGCAGCACCATTTTGCAGCGACGGCGTAACGCGTTTTGCTGATGTAAGAAATGCTGCGTGCTATTATTACAACAATGACAGCTTGGAGGAAGATAAGCTGATGATGAGAGGGATGTATAGGGCTACAGCAGGAGTTTGGCAGCATTGTGAGCACAGGGGGGCGGTGCAGTCAAACGCATTCTTGTACTGTACCGCGATTCTATTCTCCGAGCCTTCACGGACCGACACCGGCCAGCGTGCTGCGGCACGATCAATGGGGCAGGCCGTCATCCAGCAGTGGATGGACCATGGCTGATGATGGTAGTGATGACTTGGGGAGGCCGTCATCCAGCAGTGGATGGACCATGGCTGATGATGGTAGTGATGACTTGGGGAGGCCGTCATCCAGCAGTGGATGGACCATGGCCGATGATGGGCGTGGTGACTTGGGGAGGCCGTCATCCAGCAGTGGATGGACCATGGCCGATGATGGTAGTGATGGCTTGGGGAGGCCGTCATCCAGCAGTGGATGGACCATGGCCGATGATGGTAGTGATGGCTTGGGGAGGCCGTCATCCAGCAGTGGATTTGACACAAGTGCTGAACTGTAGGTATACATCTAATTGTAAAAAGGTGCAATGTTGATATGGAAATTAAAAAAATACTGCAACACTAAACTTAAAAGGTACACGGCAGTTAGAATCAATGCTGTAACGTGGGTAAATTATAATGAATTATAATAATTTACTAATTATTATCATTTACGGCCAATTGCTGGATACATCTCATCAGATTCCTCCAGCACAGATTAAGATTCCGATTCTGTCTCCTGACGCCATGCCGGTTACGGGGGCTGTCTGACCATACTTCGCCACGCTGGTGGAGTGTGGGTTGGTGACCCAAGGGGCAAGAACGGCGGTTCGGTGTGGGGTGGTGGCCAGGACCGGTTGTGATATCTCTCGCCAGCGATGCGAGCCGTTCCCGGGTGACGGGTCCAGAGCTCGGTACACCGCGCCCCCCATCTCCCCAGCCCTTAGTGCATCACGTGCACTGTAGCAATGTCATCATCATCAACAACAATGGTCACATACCTGTCAGTCTATACGGCTTACCCAATATTCTTGTACAGGGAAATTTAGTTTTTCAGGTCCATACAGCGTACAGCTGTTTCAATATGGGCAACAAAAACTGTCTGTTTGTCTGTTTCTCCCTTGTGATGGGACTTTGCAGGAAGAACGTTGAGAATTAGAAGGGTTTCAGTTTTCAGTTTCATTTATTTGGTATAGCCCTGTGAGCCATTCGGCTCTTGAATCGGGTGCAATCGCAACAAACAAAAAACATGAAACATCTTAAAGTGACAATGCGCAAACAGAAAAATCCAGGAAAAAAACTGCAAAGTCTTCTAGAAAAAAAAAGCACCGTACACGGGGTGACCAACAAGGTCTGAATTGGTCTGTAATAAGGTAGGGAGGGCACTGATAAGGGGTTGACAGGCATGGCCGTCGGTCCTATCGGTCGGCGATGCACAGTCGCCGGCGTGTCAACTGCTGCCACACCTCGCAGCGGCACTGGACAGCCATCTCAAGTGGGCAAACGTCGATGATGCTGATAATAATATGAAAAAAATAACAAACGCGAATCTTCAATTTTTTTTTACATGACGTGAAAATTAAAGGGGAGATTTTGTTTCTCAAAGAAGAATTGCCGCCCGCTGAGGTGGTAGAGGCCACGTGACAGGGATTGGGCGGGGAGGGGAGGGAGGCTTTCAGCCAGCAGCAGATAGAGCCTGACACCAACAACTTGTTTCGTGCGGCTGCTGATGTCGACAGAGACAGACGACTTGACAGACACAACGACGAGAGAACACGCGAGTGAGGGGCATTAGCGGAGTGGCGCTATCGGCTGTGATGATGAGGATCGGGGCACTGCGTCGTCACACCTGGTGCTGTTAGGGTCTCTGTTGTGGATGACCCAGTGGCACACCACTACTGGGGGAAGTCATGAATCACAACAACAACGGAACTAACAACCACCACCACCAAGTATAGAAATAGGTGTTGCCCTTTCTATAAATAAAACAGAAATTGTGTTCAGATGTTCAAACACCAAACAAAACCTTTGGAAGGAATTAAGTCAGCATTAACCACATGCAGCACTCGTGGTGAACATGTAAACAAACATGGGTCTGATAATACATGTATTGTCTTTAATAATACTGTAACTATAATGTTAGATGGCATTACATCAGAGACGGCAGCAGCCTTCTTGAGGGAGGCCTCGTCTCACCACCAGTGCCAGAGCAGAGGACACGGCCTGAAGGCGGACAGCACAAGGACCATGCCGCACGTGGCAGGGCATCGAGAGCTCGCGGTGAGCAGCTACAACATGGGACCACCACAAACATGGGGCCACCACCACAACAACATTGGGTCCACCACCACCACATGGGTCCACCACCACCACAACATGGGTCCACCACCACAATATGGGTCCACCACTACAACATGGGTCCACCACCACCACAACATGGGTCCACCACCACCACCACATGGGTCCACCACCACCACAACATGGGTCCACCACCACCACAACATGGGTCCACCACCACAACATGGGTCCACCACCACCACCAACATGGGTCCATCACCACCACAACATGGGTCCACCACCACCACAACATGGGTCCACCACCACCACAACATGGGTCCACCACCACAACATGGGTCCACAATCACCACAACATGGGTCCACCACCAACATGGGTCCACCACCACAACATGGGTCCACCACCACCATGGGTCCACCACCACCACCACATGGGTCCACCACCACAACATGGGTCCACCACCACCACCAACATGGGTCCACCACCACCACAACATGGGTCCACCACCACCACCACCATGGGTCCACCACCACCACCACCATGGGTCCACCACCACCACCACATGGGTCCACCACCACCACAACATGGGTCCACCACCACCACCACATGGGTCCACCACCACCACAACATGGGTCCACCACCACCACCACCATGGGTCCACCACCACCACCACATGGGTCCACCACCACCACAACATGGGTCCACCACCACCACAACATGGGTCCACAATCACCACAACATGGGTCCACCACCAACATGGGTCCACCACCACAACATGGGTCCACCACCACCATGGGTCCACCACCACCACCACATGGGTCCACCACCACCACAACATGGGTCCACCACCACCACCAACATGGGTCCACCACCACCACAACATGGGTCCACCACCACCACAACATGGGTCCACCACCACCACAACATGGGTCCACCACCACCACAACATGGGTCCACCACCACCACAACATGGGTCCACCACCACCACCACATGGGTCCACCACCACCACCAAGTGGTGGACAAATCTTCCCCCCTTCCTCCTCCTCCCAGCACCAATCCCCGGCCCGTCCACATTTCCCAGCGCGGATCGGCATCCGTCTCGGCAAGCGGCCTCCCCTCATTGGCCGAGCCGGCAAACCGACTGCGAGGCCGGCGCGGACCAATCACGACGCGAGTCCAGCGGACCAATCACGGCGCGAGCTCGCGGGCCGGGCGAGCCCAGCGGACCAATGGGCGCGGCGCGGCGCCTAAGCGCGCTACGAAATACAAAAGCCTCGGTGGGGGGGGGGTCCCTTAAATCTTGCCCTTTAAAATCCTATAAGGTCCCAAAATCCTATAAGGTCCCAAATAAACCAACAGCTGTCAACCCATAGGGTTTAATCCCATATTAGAGTCCACACGGCGTGTAGCCGTTTCAATAGGGGCAACTGGCAATGTGTTGCCTATTTGTTTGTGTTTCTCGCTTGTGATGTGAGGGGGGGCACGGGGTCATCCTTTATCATTCATCTGTAATTTTGTCGGCACTGGTGAGGGGTTGACAGGCACGCCTAGCTAATAATACTATTACCTACTGCTGTTGTTTATTTTATAGGACCAGGTAAGGCCTCCACTGCCCTAGTATTTCGCTCTCTAATTTTTTTTCTAGAAGCGACCGGGCGATCACAAATGACGGCTTCAAACAAAGTGTCCTCCTCGTCCTCGTTGTTTAGTGCAAATGTCCAGCGGCAGCCAAACACTGAGAGCGCTTGGTGGTGGTGGTGACTCGACATGGGGAAGGGAAACAGCGGAGGACCCGGAGACAAATCCACGCGACCACGGGCAGAGAGAGAGACACAAACTCCAAATACAGCAGCAGCAGCAGGAGGCAGGGTGGGGATGGAACCCACGACCTCCTGTGCACCAGGCGAGGTAGTCAACATTTCCTAGCCACCGTAATGATGATGAGAGACGCAAACTCCAAATACAGCAGCAGCAGCAGGAGGCGTCTGGGTGGGGATGGAACCCACGACCTCCTGTGCACCAGGCGAGGTAGTCAACATCTCCCGGCCACCGCGTTTAACGTCCCAACTCGGCGTTGCTCGTCTGCACAACACGAAGCAGCGCACGCAACTCACCGACCGCATTGGCGCCCTCGTCGAAGGTGGCCGCCGACGGGGTGACATTGCCGGAGTTGTTGACGGAGAGGAGAGGGGACCGCTCGTCCGTCGTCTCGGCCATGGCTCAGGCGGGCGGGAGGGCCAGGGGGGAGGGGCCCTTGTTGAGATGCTCGGGGGGGGGGGGGGGGACGTCACCGGACGCACGCGCAAGAGTGACGTCACGCGAGTCACGCGCGCGTTCGCGACGTCAACCAGCGGGGGGGGGGGGGGGGGACAAATCGCGTCGCTCTCGCGCGCGTGACGTCACGGGCGTCACTCTCGCGCGCGTGACGTCAGGGGCATTGCTCTCGCGCGCGTGACGTCACGGGCGACGCTCTCGCGCACTCGTGACGTCGCGGGCATTGCTCTCGCGCACGTGATGTCACGGGAGATACTTTCGCGCACGTGACGTCACAGGCATTGCTCTCGTGCGCGTGACGTCACGGGCGACACTCGCGCGCTCGTGACGTCATCCGTGTCACTCTCGCGCTCGTGACGTCACGCGCGTTACCGCTCGACCGCCCCCTAAACTGAATGTTGCCCCTCGGCCACCAGGGGGAGTCGGGCAACCTGCGGGCTCCAGAGCCGCATGCGGCGGCTCTCTGCTACCCCCCGCCCCCCACCCCCAGCGGCTCTTTGGCTGCCCCCCCTTTGCGGACAGCCGATTTATTGACATCTGAACGCCGCCTCCTGCACACCAGGCGGGGGAGACAACATCTCCCATCCACCGTGATGATGATGAGACACGCAAACTCCAAATATACAGCAGCAGGCGTCAGGGTCGGGATCTAATCCACGACCTCCTGCGCACCAGGCGAGGTAGTCAACATCTCCTAGCCACAAAAATGATTATCTCGCCAACCTAGACCAGTGGGAAGTGCGACTCGGGGTTTTATCGGTGGAAACGTCCAGAAGATGGGTTCTGGAAGTATCAAGTCTCAAGGATTATTACCCTTTTGATTCGGTTTATCAGTCTTTTGAGTGTCTCACGGCCACAGATTCTGAAGTTGTTTGTTGTTGACTGTTGTAAACACGAACACATTCCGCTCTACGTATTGCAAGGCTACTGCCAATGGCTCGGGTCTAACGTCCAAGTTCGAGAAGTCACGCCTTTGCCGACACTGAGAAACGAACGGGGAAACTCATAGCTACTCCGGTATTTAATGTATTTCGTGGGTGATTCACTCAGGAGTGGACATGACCATATAGCTGCTACGTAAACTCATTTAAAGATCTCCCACTCCCAAAGTGGACTCGCCGTTGCCTGCTAGGTGACAGAAGTTCAATGTTTCTGTGCATCGGTTGCTTGGGAAATGTGCCGCATATTTTCAGAGAAACATAATCCATTGTAATGTCTATGATAAAAAAAAAACCTCTCCAATCGTTGCACCTGATTTGGCTCAGAGCGATGACATCAGCTCGCTCTATCGGAGTATTTATTTTGACTGCAGGAGGAATCCGATGAGCTATAAAGTTCTTCTTAACAGATGTCCAGTATTCAGACCGAAAGCAGGAAGACTTCTTCACAATTCTGGCAATTCGCCTGATGAAGCTGGTTGCAATCACCAGCGAAACGTCGAACTCAGTTGTAAATGTTGTGGGTTTACTCGCCATCACACCAGTGTGTTGAAAAGCCAATTGCCACGTTTTGTTCACGTGGCAAACCTTAAAAATTGGCCGTGTCAGGTGGTGGTGGGTTAACGACACATTTATAATTACGCGATATAACCCCGGAAAAAAAACTCCTCCACCTTCATAATGAACACGCCTGGTCGCGAAAGTCTACGTTGTAAATTTGTTTGGGTTTCCCTTTCTCAGGTTCCTTGGCTTTTTCTCCTCGGGGGAAGCCAAACTCGTGCCCCGGTGTTCGAGGTGGGATGTGGTCGTCTCGAGACGGACATCGACAGCCGGACAGCCCTCACTCAAGCAGAGGCGTGACCACGGCAGACGATGGTGGTGGAGTCTTTATTGAATTCTCTGCGCATCAATGCGCTTTTGAAGAAAAAAAAGTTGGGGGTGAAGATTTCCCATGGCAAACTCTTTACAACTCCTCGCTTGCGTGCCCTCCAAGACAGAGAGCCGCATTCTCCGGACCACGCACACGACGCGCGCGCTTCCCTGCATGTGAAGTTAAAAGTTTGGCGGTGCGTCTTGTAATGTGGTTGGGGGCATCAGGTGGGTGCATCGTCCAGCCATCTCGGTCAGTCGACCCACGGCACCTGCTGGGTCTGTGACCATCCTGCCAGCGGGCGGTCGACACTTCACGTGGCCTCAACGTGCACCTAGCCTGGCACAGACGCCGTGGGGACGTCACCGCCACTTAGTGGTTGTTGTTGTTGGTAGTATGCACACGTTGCGTGCTTCATGCGTGTCAACTGCCTTCATATATTTTGCCTTTTGTTATATCGGTGAGCCCCGGGGGTCACTCTTGCAGAGACGTTTTCTACCTCGGTGCCCGGTCTCTTCTCGACTTCTCAGCTGGTTACACAATCAGCTTGAGCCATGATGTGTATGGTGCGTCAATGTGCCGTGTATGTGGGGAGCGGCGGTGCAGTGATTAGCGCGGCCGCGCTACAATCCCGGCGGCCAGAATTAAATTCCCACTCACGGCCTACGCGAGTGACGATTATCTGAAGCGGTTCTGGGCCTCCCCTAGGTCGATTAAGCATCAAATGAGTACCCGGTGCGGTGTGTAGTAAACATCGCCACTGGGGAGACAAAGGCGTCCGGGCGTGGTGCTGGCAACTCTCCCCCTCGTGCGCCGTGCCGGCCTTCGTCGGTGCTACTCGCTAACAGCACTTGCCCCAACATTCTGTTAAGGCTACACGGGGGATCTTTGTGAGTAGATCTGTACAAGATTGGAGCGTGTCTTACTTTCCGGAGCGTCTTATAACCCAGGGTTTACGTGCAGCAGCCCCATTCATAACGTGCGGTCTCCCACACCAACAGGGATCCCAACAAACTCCGGTCAGCACGTTTGGCTACGCGCGGTGCAAAATAATTCCAACGTAAAAACGTACGTACAAACTGCCTTTCCACATTTACCAACCGCCGCCTCATCCCACGAGAAATAAACATGTGCTCGCGGTGCCCCGTGAAAATCCGCGATACAATTTTTTTCGACGCCGCAAGCCGGTTTCACGACAGCCCCAACGCCGAGCCATAGAGCACGCGCAGAGACAAGGGGATGAAGGCGCAGGCCCTGCAATTGCTTACACCACCACCGGCACAAAGGTCTCCGCTCGAAGGAGCTCCAGAGCGGTGTTCCTCACTCATTGTCGGGGGAAGGGGGGGGAGCCACTGTCGCTGACGAAATATCAGAAGTGCGAGGGCCGCCACAGTGCATGCAAGACGTTAACGGAATGCTGCGTAGTCTTCCACGACGGCCAGAGATCTTGGTCGAGGCGGTCGGGACACCCACACTTTAACCCGCCGTGCAGGACCTCCGTACCGATCGACTGTGGCGTACGTACATTGACCGCCGGGTGGACGGGCGGCAAGGGGCAGGGGAGTCTAAGGAACTGCGGTGAGCGCGGTTGGCTACGTACGGTGTGAAAGAAGTTTAACACGAACATACGCACGACTTGCACCACTGTTTCAATGATGGGGGGGGAAAATAGATTCGGATGCCGTGCTCGAACATTTGGAGAGAAAAAAAACGTTTCGTGTTTTTTTGGACAGTCGCCCAATTACTCGTGCAGCGTGCACCACGCGGGGGGGCAGGTGTAGCGAGTTGGCAGGGCAGCACGACATCGCACGCGTCCGACTTGTGCGGGCGGATTTGTGGAAAGGTCAGACACGTGGACGTCTGCACGGATCGGCAGTTAGGCCCTGCACTGGGCGTAGGCAGCTTACATTGGTCAGGCGGATAAGTGACGTTGCTACTGCACCCGCTCAGAACCGTCGCTACGACGACGTCCTGAGTCCGGGGTAGGCAACGTGACCAAGATGTAGCAGCTCATTCAGCCTGCTTGCTTGCTAGTAGAGGTTCACGGTCTCCAATCCCGTGGCTGCCTCGATTCACACCGCACTGTGTAATATTGTAGATTTACACCACGCTGTGTAATATCCGACATTAACACTGCGCTGTGTAATATCCGACGTCATTCGCAGGAGCGAGCCATCGCACGTGACGGTGCCACGGTCCAATTTTTGCTGAAATCGAAAAACGATACCGCAAAGTTACTCGAAAGGTGACTGAACCACAACGCAGCAGCAGCAGCAATCACCGCAATCCCCCCCCCCCGCCCCTTACTGGCAGACTAATGGCCCAGGTCACCCTTGCTCAATGAGATTCTCCCGGTCTCTTTGAGTTAAACTAAATAAAGTGAACGACGCGAGGTTTGGAATGGCGGAGTGCGCCGCCGCCGCCGCGTGGTGTCGCCGAGTCTCCGGGTCGCCCGCTCACTTTCCCTTCTTGAACTTCCCGCCGGCAGCCGGCTTGGATTTCTTCTTCGCCGAGCCCTTGGGCTCCGGCTGCTACAAAAAGAAAAAAAATGAAAAGTTCAAACAAGCCGGCCAAGCCAGTCGGTTAAAAGAACAAAGCGCCTTCGGGTTGTTGTTTTGGGGCGGCAGGGTGATGCAGTGTTGACACTCGCATCTTCAGATGAGCACGGTTAGCTACGTACGGTGTGAAAGACGTTCAACATGTGTACGTACACACATACTCGCACCTAACAGCAAGAAGGGGCCTGGGTTCGATTACCGGACTTAGATGCCTTTCTTTGTTTAGTTTGTACTTTCACTACCTCTGTTCTGCAGAATACGAGTCAGTGAGCGGAGTTTGTGTGATCTCCCCCTGTTCTGCAGAATACGAGTCAGTGAGCGGAGTTTGTGGGATCTCCCCCTGTTCTACAGAATGCGAGTCAGTGAGTGGAGTTTGTGTGATCTCCCCCTGTTCTACAGAGTGAGTGTAGTTTGTATGATCTCCCCCTGTTCTACAGAGTCAGTCAATGGAGTTTGTATGTTTTACCCCTGTTCTACAGAGTGAGAGTGAGTGAGTAGAGTTTGTTGATCTCCCCCTGTTCTGCATGGGTTTAATCCAGGTTCTCTAGTTTCCTCACGAAGCTAAAATAGACACAATGCAACCGGTATTGGCCAAAACATCGTAATTCTGATAACTTACCTGCAGTCTCTATGCGAGTCTATGGGTCTCTATACAAGTCTATGGGCGTATTTCTGTGATGGCATTTTGGGTGGCAGATTGGTGCCAGAAAGGTGCTTCACGTGTTGAGCAAAAAATAAACAAGTCACCGCATACATACGGTGCGAAAGTAGTTCAACGTACTATACAGCCAACTACTAACGACTACTACTTAATATTTTACCGAGCTATACAGCTCTATTTCGGAAGCGACCTGGCCACAAATGATAACTCAACGAAGTGCCTTATCGCGTGGAAATGTCTAGCAGCAGCCAAACACTGTAAACGCGTGGTGACGTTGATTCTAAATGCAGAGAGAAAAACCGGAGGACCCGGAGAAAATTCCACGCGACAACAAGGAGACAGACGACACGCAAACTCCAAATATACAGCAGCAGCAGGCGTCAGGGTCGGGATCGAACCCATGACCTCCTGTATACCAGGCGAGGTAGTTAACATCTCGCCACCGTGATGATGATTATGAGAGACACGCAAACTCCAAATATACAGCAGGCGTCAGGGTCGGGATCGAACCCACGACCTCCTGTATACCAGGCGAGGTTATCAACATCTCCTAGCCACCGTGATAATGAGACCACAAATTCGCCACACGTGATAACCTCCGGTGTAATGTGCTGTGGCTGGTAGGCTGAAACCCAGACTGGGCACCCAGAGCCTCAGCAGCGCTGGGCGCAGCGTCTCCGACCTTTCGAGCGACCCGACCCCAACGGAGGAAGCCGTTGACGGCGCTGGCACCGACCTTGCGTTTGGCGGAGGTGATGGAGCCGGTGATCTTGAAGAAGTCGTCCATGCGCACCTGCGTCGTCCCCTGCTTGCTCTTCAGCAGCTTCTTCACTCCGTTGCGGATGCGGTCCTCGCTGCGGGCGCGAGAGGGGAGGGCATGGCGAGCGCGTCAAGCGTGCTGGCGCGTCATGCGTGCTGGCGCGTCAAGCGTGCTGGCGCGTCAAGCGGGGTACCGACTGACGTCACGTGCGCGTTTAGAGAGGCGACGCTCACAACAATGAGCAGACCGCCGGGTGGCTAAAACGCAGCAGGTTGGCACAGTGGGGAGCACAGCTGGTGAATCTGCTGCTTCCAAACATCGCTGGGGCGTGCTAAGTGACAAGCCACTTCTGTGTGAATGCGGAGAGCCAGGAGGAGACCACGGGGAGCCAGGAGCAGACCGCGACGCACCATCGTCCTCGGCGGGGCAGTGCGTCAGGGCGTGATGGGCGGACCGTTGCCCTGCACGTGCTGGAAGATGCTACAAAGTGGCTCTGTGGCTACGTGGTGGGGGGGGGCTGATGTCCACGCAAAAAAACATTTATCTAATTATACATTTAGTAAATGTGTTTTGACCTGTTGGAAGTCACGTGAAACAGCGTTCGCTAAATAAAAACCACTACCGCCGTCACCACCACCACCGCAACCGCCCCCTGGCCCTGCATCTCACTTAAACTGCTTCTCCTGCACCATGAAGGCCACCAGTCCCTCCTCGTCGGGCTCGTTCCACTTCAGGTCCACCTCCTCGGCGTCCACCACGTCGGGCTTGAGGAACAGCTGCCTCGCCTCCTGGTACAGCCAGTTGTCCGGCACGGGGTACTTCTACTCGCACGCAGGGAGCCAGAGAGAGAGGGGGGGGGGACAGAGCGAGAAGGGGAGAGAGGAAAGACAGAGCGGGTAGGGGAGATGAGGAGAGGGGACGAGTGGACAAGAGCGAAGGAGCGGGGAGCAGAGAGGGTGAATGAATTGGACAGCCAGGTCCAGACTTGCCACTATGATCATCATCATCACACACACAAATCCACAGATCCCCTGTGTAGCCCACACAAGACTGCTGGGGCAAGTGCTGCCTGTTGGGGCAAGCACCTATGAAGGACAGCACAGCCACACGAGGTAGTGTGGCCAGAACCACGCCCGGCCACCGTTGATTCTCCAGTGTTGATGTTTACACGCCGCACCGGGTACTCATTTAAGGCTGAGTCGACCTAGAGGAGGCCCATTCAGATAATCGTCACTGGTGTTGGTCTCTCGCTACCCACGTTGGCCCTGGTCACAGAGACGGAGCAAGGAAATCGACTCGTGTGCAGGAGCTGGATGGATCGTCAAACTACCCAAATGGGATCGCGTGCACCAAACATCGCCCAGCACTGCCGTAAACCTAAAACTAAACCATTTTTATTTTACCAGGGAAGGCCCACTGAGCTGTATAGCTCTTTTTCAGAAGCAAGCAGGCCACAAGTGATAGCTAAACAAAGTGGCTTATCATCATGTGGAAATGTATAGCAGCCAAATACTCTCAACGCGTGATGTTGAATCTAATTGTGGAGGGAAAAACCAGAGGACGCGGAGAAAACTCCACGCGACAATGGGGAGAGAGACACGCAAACTCCAAATATACAGGAAGCATCAGGGTTGGGATCGAACCCACGACCTCCTGTATACCAGGCGAGGTAGTCATCATCTCCTAGCCACCGTGATGATGATGAGAGACACAGACACCAAATATACAGCAGCAGGCGTCTGGACCGCAATCAAACCCACGACCTCCTGTACACCAGGCGAGGTCGTCAACATCTCCTAGCCACCGAGGTGCCCAGGACCCTCCTTAAAACGAGACTCTTGAGACTCGACGAGGCTTTCCTGAGTAAATCAGCGTAGTCGCAATAATCAACAGCGATGGATCGTCACACCAACGCTGGATCGCGAGAGACGGAGGCATCATCCAGCAACGGACAGTTCACGCTGGCGACGACGACGACGATAGCAATGACGACGATGAGCAGGTGACGCCGCCCACCTTGGTGTCGATGTGCTGCAGGATGGCCTCGATGCGCTTGTATTGCCGCACGAGCTCGATGGCCCGCTTGGGCCCGATCCCCCTGATGGTCTCGCAGTAGTCGCAGCCCAGCAGGATACACAGGTCGATGAACTGTGGCGAGGGGTGGCGCAGCAGTTAGAGCACTGCGCTCCTAACACGATGACCCGAGTTCGAATCGACATCAGCGACGAATATCTGAACCAGTCCTGGGCCTCGCCGCTAGCTAGCCTCAGAATGCGGTGTGTAGAACATCAGCGCTGGGGGAGTATTGGCCACACCGCACCCTCTCGTGTGCCGTGCCGGCCTTCATAGGTGCTACTCACTAACAGCACTTGCCCCAACAGTCTGTAAAGCTATACGGAGGATGTTTGTCTTTGGGGGTGAGGGGGTAGCAATTGAAACAGGGTGGCAAGCGTAGCGCAGTGATGACACAAGTGCCTCACAGCGAGAAGGGCCGAGGTTCGATTCCCGACTCGGGCACTTTTCTGTATGAATGTTGAAATTATTTTGCACCGTACGTAGCCAACCGTGCTAATCAGAGGTGCGGGGGGGGGGGGGTAGAGTTTGTGTGTCGTCTCTCCGCCTGTTCTGCATGGGTTTCCTCCATGATCTCCGGTTTCCCTCCCATAGCTAAAATCAACACACGCAGTGCACCAAGCGGTATTGATCAAAACATCCCAACGTTGAAAAATGATCCCCAAAATACGACACTTGGGGTTAAACCTGGCAACATCGCCACCCCTACTGACGGTGCATCGCGGGCCTCTCATCCTGTTTGAGCGGCTGTGACCCGACTGACAGCAGCAGCAGCAGCGACAGACACAACCTGGGACCGTTTTCACCATAATTACACCTCATCGGGACAGCACAAGCAACAAACACCGCAAGGCCCGTTCGATAGGCCGATGGCAACCACGATAAAATATGTAAATGATGGGAATAAGCCATCATCGCAACGGCGGCAAAACCACAAGATTCAAACAACGCACAGACGCCGTGTCCACACGGCCTCTGTGCATTATAGAAAAACCATCAAGTTCCTGGATAAGTGGATCACCATCATCGTCATCCTCACCTCGTCATGTGAAAGCTTGATCTCCTCCAGAAGCTTCGTGAAGTGGAACTCCTGAATGGGCAGTTTTCTGTAAAATGTAGCACGCGGGGACTTTGATGGGAGGCACACCGAGACAGACCGAGACACACCAATACCCGCCATTTGCCACTAAGTGACGGTGACGTCACCACAGCGCCTGTGCCAGGCCAGGTGCACTTTGAGGCAGCGTGAAGTGTCAAAGGCTCACTGACAGTAGGTCTCGGGACAGACCCAGGTGCCGAGACACACACACACGGACACACAGACGGAGATAAAATAAAGTCACACACACAGACAAACAGATACAGAGAGACAGAGGGCGACACAGACACAAAGAGACACACAGAAACAGGTAGAGACAGAGACAAAGTTCCCCCGTATAGCCGTAACAGACTTTTGATTCAAGTGCTGTTAGTGAGTATCAACTACGAAGGCCGGCACGGCACACGAGGGGGTGGGTGGCCAGCACCACGCCCGGCCGCCCTCGTCTCCCCAGTGGCGATGTTTACTACGCACCGCACCAGGTACTCATTTGAGGCCGAGTCGACCTACACACACAAACTCTATCCCACACAGGCGCGCTCACGCTCTCACGCGCACACGCTCTCACGCGCACACACTCTCACGCACACACACTCTCACGCACACACGCTCTCACGCACACACACTCTCACGCACACACACTCTCACGCACACACGCTCTCACGCGCACACGCGCACACGCTCTCACGCGCACACGCGCACACGCGCACACGCACACACGCTCTCACGCACACACGCGCACACGCTCTCACGCGCACACGCTCTCACGCGCACACGCTCTCACGCACACACGCTCTCACGCGCACACGCTCTCACGCACACACGCGCACACGCTCTCACGCGCACACGCTCTCACGCGCACACGCTCTCACGCGCACACGCTCTCACGCGCACACGCTCTCACGCGCACACGCTCTCACGCGCACACGCTCTCACGCGCACACGCGCACACGCTCTCACGCGCACACGCTCTCACGCGCACACGCTCTCACGCGCACACGCTCTCACGCACACACGCTCTCACGCGCACACGCGCACACGCTCTCACGCGCACACGCGCACACGCGCACACGCACACACGCTCTCACGCACACACGCACACGCTCTCACGCGCACACGCTCTCACGCGCACACGCTCTCACGCGCACACACTCTCACGCGCACACACTCTCACCGCACACGCGCACACGCTCTCACGCGCACACGCTCTCACGCGCACACGCTCTCACGCGCACACGCTCTCACGCGCACACGCTCTCACGCGCACACGCTCTCACGCGCACACGCGCACACGCTCTCACGCGCACACGCTCTCACGCGCACACGCTCTCACGCGCACACGCTCTCACGCGCACACGCGCACACGTTCTCACGCGCACACGCTCTCACGCGCACACGCTCTCACGCGCACACGCTCTCACGCGCACACGCTCTCACGCGCACACGCTCTCACGCGCACACGCTCTCACGCGCACACGCTCTCACGCCACACGCTCTCACGCGCACACGCTCTCACGCGCACACGCTCTCACGCGCACACGCTCTCACGCGCACACCTCTCACGCGCACACGCTCTCACGCGCACACGCTCTCACGCGCACACGCTCTCACGCGCACACGCTCTCACGCGCACACGCTCTCACGCGCACACGCTCTCACGCGCACACGCTCTCACGCGCACACGCTCTCACGCGCACACGCTCTCAACGCGCACACGACTCTCACGCGCACAGCTCTCACGCGCACACACTCTCACGCGCACACGCTCTCACGGCCACACGCTCTCACGCGCACACGCCTCTCACGCGCACAGCTTCTTCACGCGAACACAGCTCTCACGCACACACGCTCTCACGCGCACACACTCTCACGCGCACACACTCTCACGCGCACACACTCTCACGCGCACACGCTCTCACGCGCACACGCTCTCACGCACACACGCTCTCACGCGCACACGCTCTCACGCACACACGCTCTCACGCGCAACACGCTCTCCGCACACACACTCTCACGGCGCACACGCTCTCACGCGGCACACAACTCTCACGCGCACACGCTCTCACGCGCACACGCTCTCACGCGCACACGCTCTCACGCGCACACGCTCTCACGCGCACACGCTCTCACGCGCACACGCTCTCACGCGCACACGCTCTCACGCGCACACGCTCTCACGCGCACACGCTCTCACGCGCACACGCTCTCACGCGCACACGCCTCACGCGCACACGCTCTCACGCGCACACGCTCTCACGCGCACACGCTCTCACGCGCACACGCTCTCACGCGCACACGCTCTCACGCGCACACGCTCTCACGCGCACACGCTCTCACGCGCACACGCTCTCACGCGCACACGCGCACACGCTCTCACGCGCACACGCTCTCACGCGCACACGCTCTCACGCGCACACGCTCTCACGCGCACACGCTCTCACGCGCACACGCTCTCACGCGCACACGCTCTCACGCGCACACGCTCTCACGCGCACACGCTCTCACGCGCACACGCTCTCACGCGCACACACTCTCACGCACACGCTCTCACGCGCACACGCTCTCACGCGCCACGCTCTCACGCGAACACGCTCTCACGCGCACACGCTCTCACCGCGCACACGCTCTCACGCGCACACGTTCTCACGCGCACACGCTCTCACGCGCACACGCTCTCACGCGCAACACGCTCTCACGCGCACACGCTCCACGCGCACACGCTCTCACGCGCCACACGCTCTCACGCGCACACGCTCTCACGCGCACACGCTCTCACGCGCACACGCTCTCACGCGCACACGCTCTCACGCGCACACGTTCTCACGCGCACACGCTCTCACGCGCACACCGCTCTCACGCGCACACGCTCTCACGCGCACACGCTCTCACGCGCACACGCTCTCACGCGCACACGCGCACACGCTCTCCGCGCACACGCTCTCACGCGCACACGCTCTCACGCGCACACGCTCTCACGCGCACACGCTCTCACGCGCACACGCTCTCACGCGCACACTCTCACGCACACACGCTCTCACGCGCACACACTCTCACGCACACACTCTCACGCGCACACGCTCTCACGCACACACACTCTCACGCGCACACGCTCTCACGCGCACACGCTCTCACGCGCACACGCTCTCACGCGCACACACTCTCACGCGCACACGCTCTCACGCGCACACGCTCTCACGCGCACACGCTCTCACGCACACACGCTCTCACGCGCACACGCTCTCACACACACACTCTCACGCACACACACTCTCACGCACACACACTCTCACGCGCACACACTCTCACGCGCACACACTCTCACACACACACACTCTCACGCGCACACGCTCTCACGCGCACACGCTCTCACGCTCACACGCTCTCACGCACACACGCTCTCACGCGCACACGCTCTCACACACACACTCTCACGCACACACACTCTCACGCACACACACTCTCACGCGCACACACTCTCACGCGCACACACTCTCACACACACACGCTCTCACGCGCACACGCTCTCACGCGCACACACTCTCACGCGCACACACTCTCACACACACACTCTCACACACACACTCTCACACACACACTCTCACACACACGCGCGTCGCAACGTACTTGGCCTCGCTGGCTGTCAGGTGGCGCAGCAGGACCCCGGTGCCGAACGTGAGCCCGTCCATGTCCTCGGTGGCCGTGGCAAACACCTTGCCGGCCTTCACCAGCGCGGCACAGCTCGCCTCCGCCTCGCAGGGGGCCTACCACGCACACAAAGACAAAGATCCTCCGTGTAGCCTTTAACAGACTGTTGGAGCAAGTGCTGTTAGCGAGCAGCACTTATGAATGTTGCCACGGCACACGTGTGGGTGGCCAGCACAACTGCCCGCCTTTGTCTTCCTAGTGGCGATGTTTACACACTGCACCAGTTACTCATTTGAGGCTGAGTCGACCTAGGGAAGGCCCAGGAACGGTTCAGATAAGCGTCATCGATGTGGGTCCCTGAGCGGGAATCGAACTCGGGTGGTCGGGTTCGTAGTGCAGCACGCTAACCACTGCGCCACCGCTCCCCACACACAGCACCACACACCCAGCGTTACACACACAGCACCACACACCCAGCATTACGCACACAGCATGCACCACACAGTCACACGCAGCGCAGCACGCTCAGCCACAAAGAGCGTCACACACACAGCATTATACACGTGGTGTTATACACTAAGCATACACCACACACGCATAGTCACACACTGAGTGAGGCATGTGCAGTCACATAGCGTCACGCACGCATGGTCATAAACGCAGTGGGGCACGCGCAGCCAAACGCAGCATCACGTACGAAGCGTCTCGCACATATTGCGTCACAACAATATTTAACGGGGAAGTGGGGGGCTTCGTGTCTGCCGACCTTTCCCTCCCCCCCCTTCCCCCGGCCTCAGGGGAGGCTCTGGGGAGATGAGGGAGGGAGGACTGTTAGCGAGCTCCCGTTAAGGACACACGCTTGTCGCGCACCTCCACGTAGGGGACGCCCATGAGCCGCAGCAGCCGCTTGCACTCGTCGTTGTGCTGCCGTGTGACGCGCACCAGCCGCTTGCTGTACTTCTCCACGTTCTCCACCTCGCCTGCGACACACGCGCAACAAAGACACGAGAGAATACGGTGATGATGATGATTATTACTTCGCTTGTTCAACCACGAAAGGTCTCACCGAGTCTCGAGACTCTTTCACAGGCTCGCTGGCAGCTCACGGGAGAGGCCCAGGTGCCATGGGTTGACCGAGATGACTGACAAGAGGCGCTATCTCTGTGCCCCACTGAGCCGACTCGCTGCGTTCTATCTGCCCTCTGCTATGCTCGTTGTTGTGAGCATTGCCCCTCTGCCCCCCTCCGCCGTTGGTGACTGCCTCCAACTGCCCAGGAGCGTCCTTCACAAAGGCCGGTCTTGACACCGATAGTCCACTCAGCTCCACATCCTCCTGTACCACATCAAGTCCACATCTCTTATTCGGCCCGTGTCACGCCCGTTTAGCACCCTCTATCTGGCCAAACAGAAGCTGCTTGGGCATGCGGTGGGCTGGGCATATGGGCTACACGACCCACACAAATATACACACAGCCGCTAACATACGCACACGCACGCCTCCTCACCAGCCTCCTCAGCTGCCACCAGCTGCTTCTCGGCCTCCACTCTGCGCTCCGCTCGCTTCGCCAGCTGCAACCAATTAGCACAGTAATTAATACCCACAATGCACCGGGCCCAACGTCGTTGAGCCACGGTGGCGAGAGCAGCCACGGTGACGAGACGTCATCTCCCTCCTCTGTTTTACAAGAGGTCATGGGTCCGATCCCGACCCTGATGCCTGTATATGTGGAGTTTGCATGTCTCTCTCTCCGTGGTCGCATGGATTTCTCCGTTTTTTACCTCCACATTTAGAAACAACGTGCATTTAGAGCATGTGGCTGCTATACATTATCACGTGATAAGCCACTTCGTTAAGTTATAATTTGTGCCTAGGTAGCTGAAAGCAGCGGCGGTGATTGGCGCGGATACCTCTCCCGACTTGAGCTGTGGAGGTTTCCCGTCGAACACGTACACGGGCTTGATGCCGTTCTCTATCATGCGGATCGTGCGATAGAAGAGTCCGACCAGGTGGCTGTAGGCACCATCGCACGGTCACAAACGCACAGCAACAACAATAGTCACATAAAGCACACGATCACGTTCACACAATCGCATTCACACGAGCACATTTACAAGATCACAATTGCACAATTTCATTGACAGAATCAGCGATAGAATTGCACTATCTGCACTTCCTGTTTTCCCTTGATCATGGATCGATCCGCTGACCTTCCCGTTTACCAAATGTGCTCACTCTCCCCAATGTTCACGCTTTTGCGAAAAGACAGGAGGAATATTCCACAGCCACATTCTCATCAAATTACCCACTTCCCCTATTAGTCAGCAAAACCTTGATAGATCCACGGACCTCCTTGTTATCCGAGCATCCGTTCTGTGGCAGGCCGGGTAGGAAAGTGCTGCCTGCCCTCGATTGTGTGGACCAGAGGGCACTTGAAGAAAGTATCTCAGAGGTAGGTCTGTGATATCCGCTTCCGTCTCTAACACAAATCGGCGCACTGCTCTGCGCTCCTGTCGTGTTTTTCGTAATTGTTGGTTGTGCAACTCCCTGACCCCATACCCCTACTGGACATCTGTAGGAAAAGAGCTCCGTAGCTCATCGGATTCCTTCTCCAGTCTACAGAAAGAACCTGAAATTTCCGAACAAAACCTTCTCGTTACGCGACGCCGACTTTCACAGGCGGGGTAAGATAGGGCAAAGATCATTTTGTTAATGAATTAAAAATAAAGAGAGTAGAGCATCATATTCTTTGTTTTTTTCGGTAATGTCACGTGGGTGAAAACAAAATAAAATAAAACTACTAAATTAAATCACGACGTTTCGGAAGCAACACAAGCATCCGTCATCAGGTGTGACTGCTCCAGCAAAATTACTGTAGCGTATGAAGAGTAGCGTCTGAAGAGTAGAGCATCACCTGGTGGTCTCTCCGTCCTCGGAGGTGAGAGTGTTTCCGTCCTGCCGCACGGCGATCAGGAACTGGTAGATGCTCATCGACGCGTCAATAGCGATTTTGCGACCTACAAGAGACACAAACACAAAGATCAATCACCCTTGGAGCCTTTAAACAGGCCGATAGAACAAGCGCTGTTAGCGAGTGCCTATGAACGCCGGCACGGCACACGTGGTGGTGGGTGGCCAGCGCCACGACCAGGCCGCTTTTGTCTCCCCTGTGCTGATGTTTACACACCGCATCAGTTAAAAAATCGTGGTAATATCACCGCAGCATTTGTGCCAGGCTAGGTGCACTTTGTGGCCATGTAATATGTAATGAAGGTTCACTGGCAGGTCCCAGGGCAGACTATACGTTGATTGAGATGACTGGCACAGTGACACACTAAAAGTGACGTACAATAAGTGACATACACTATGAAAATTACTCTAATACACACTGCCACACTATGACACAATGGGAGGCAGTGATGCAAGGTAAGTCAGTCTGGCTCTATGAACTTGTCATAATACTGAACCCCAACACCGTAATATTAAACTTGCCAAGGTCTGGCTTTGTGAGCATAAATGGTTAACATAAACCCCCTATGTAAGCCCTAGTGAGCCTTAGTCTGGCTCTGCGAGCCTCAGTGATTAGCACTGAACTATTTGAGAACCTTAGTCTGGCTCTGAGTCTCAGAGATTAACACTGAACCCTATGCGAACCTTAGTCTGCCTCTGTAAGCCTCAGTGATTAGCACTGAACTCTTTTAGAACCTTAGTCTGGCTCCAAGCCTCAATGATTAGCACTGAACTCTATGGGAGCCCTTGCCTGGCTCTGAGTCTCAGTGATTAACACTGAACCCTATGGGAGCCTTTGCCTGGCTCTGAGTCTCAGTGATTAACACTGAACCCTATGCGGGTCTGGCTCTGCGAGCCTCATTAACACTGAACCCTGTCATGGCTCTGTGAGCCTCATTAAAGTCACGTAGAAGGGAAGTAATACAATAATAAAAATAAAACATTATAAAATAATTCTCACGACAACGCGCAGATTTTTTGTTTTAAACCCCCATCGGCGCAACGGACCAAAGTAACTTTTGATGTCGTTTTCCTTCATGGCTCCGGGTGCCACGTCCGCGATGAGCTTGGTGAGGCCGTGTATTCCCATCGTCGGCGCGCGCGTGTGCTAAATGTTTAAGTTGTTAAAGAATGTTAAAGTAGTGAGCGGGGCGAGGTGGGTCTTTAACTCCGTCCGTCAGGCTTGCGGCCTGGTCGCACTTTTCCCGCGCTTTCGCGTGTGACGTCACCGTCGCGGTGGGAGCGCTTGCTACGGTGGCCTCTCCGTCCCCCACCACCGGGGATGAGTTTCGCGTTTCGTAAATAGCGTATCAAAGTATGAAAAAATAAGAATATGTTTTTTTTCCCTTTCTGGCAATTAAACAGGAGTTGTGTCCAGATATTTAAACACCAAAATATAAACTTTTTGCAAGGAATCAAGAACCACACGTACTTGTGGTAAATATGCAAACAAACATCCTCTGATGCTAATCTGTGCATTGCCTTTGAAACTGATTGTTCTAAAGCAGACACAGCAGTCTTCTTTATGGCCTCGTCTCACCACCAGTGCCAGATCACAGAACAACGCCAAAAGACGAACAGCACAGAGAAAATGGCACGATCAGATCATTAATAATATCTCGGGGTGGGCAGCTACGACATGGGGTCTTTTTGCAAGTAGCAAAGTATGGAATAAGTATAACCCGTAAAAACAAAGTTTTTCACTATAAATCCTTTATATGCGTGGCGGCTAGAGTCCTCTCGTCCTCTGGCTTGAGATGGCTGCCACCTATGGGTCAGATGGTTGCATTGCACCATTAAGCAATTGGTAATTAAATTTAATATTTTTGTTCTAAAAAGTGTAAAAATGTTGAACATTTTTTTCACGAACATTAATTGTCACGCACAACGAGTCTGTGTGGAAAATGTCAGCTCGATTGGATCACGGGAAGTGGGTTAAAAAACGACCGAAAGATTTGCACGGTCGTAAGCAAGCAAGCGAACTTAATATAAAGGATTTAAAAATAAGAATAGGTTTAAGCCTTTCTGGAAATAAAACAGGAGTCGTGTTAAGATGTTCAAACACCAAATAGATTCAACCTTTTGCAAGGAATCAACTTGCTGCATTCATCACGCACAGTATATGTGGTGAAAATGTAAACAAACATGTTCTGATAATATATGTTTGGCATTGTCTTTGAAACTGATTGAAATAATAAATACGCAGGTAACAGGAATGTACAGAATCAGAAAACAGTATTTACTTAAAATACTGGTGGAGAAATCCGATGAGCCATGAAGCTCTTTATTCCACAGACTTCCAGTGGGGACACGATGTCAGGACGTTACAACAACAACAGCAGCAGCAGCAGCAGCAGAAACACAACAACAGTGACTCATACCTGTCAACCCTTATCAGTGCCCTGCCTTGTTACACACCACTCACACTACACCACTATACACTATACACTACACTATACACTACACTACTATACACTACACTATTATATACTATACACTACACTATACACTACACTACTATACACTACACACTACTATACACTACACTACTATACACTATACACTACACTATACACTACACTATACACTACACTATACACTACTATACACTATACACTACTATACACTACACTATACACTACACTACTATACACTACACTATACACGACACACTACACTACTATACACTACACACTACTATACACTACACACTACTATACACTACACACTACACTACTATACACTACTATACACTATACACTACTACAAACCTGTCAACCCCTTATCAGTGCCCTACCTTGTTACACACCAACTCAGACCTTATTGGTCACCCCGTGGCCCTTACACATCTCAACGTTCATCCTACAAAGTCCCATCACAAGGGAGATACACTTCAAATAGACAAATGTTTTATGTTTGTTGCCCGTATTGAAACGGCTGTACACCAGTATGGCCCTGAAAACTCAATTTCCCTGTCCAAGAATACGGGGTGAACCCTATGGGTTGACAGCGATGAGTCCAAAGTATAGATAAGGTAATCAAATCACTAAAGTGTGAAAAAATAAGAATAGGTTTTACCCGTTCTGGCAATAAAACAGAAGATGTTCAGACACAAATAGATTAAACCTTTCGCAAGGAATCATCATGTCTGCTGCATTAACCACGCACAGTACTTTGTACGTGATGTTTAGATTTGTGTACAATTAATTTTAGGTGTATCTTGTAATTGTATTGCTTGTTGCGGTTGAACCCAAATCAAGAGCCGAGTGGCTCACAGGGTAAATCCTAATAAATGAACTTAACTGAACTTTGGTGAACATGCAAAAAACATGTTCTGATAACATGCTCTGATAAAAATCATCATTAATTGTCTGAAAACGTCTTATAAAATAAAACAAATCGAAGGACCCTCCTGAAAGAGTGTGGCTCTCTTGGATACGTTAACATTTTCAATATAATTAGCAATAATTAACATCTGTTGGTGTGCGCCCGTCTTTATAAATTAGCCTATAACGATCATCATTATCGTGGCCATCTCACAGAGATCCACTGTCTTTGGCAGTGCTGACAGTGACATGGCAAGACATGCTGGTGGTGACGCAACACGTGCCACGGGGAGCGGTGGCGCATTGGTTAGCGCACTGAACTACCAACTCCGAGTTCCACTCAATACCAGTGGCGAATATCTGAACCGGTCCTGGGCCTCCCTCCCCCCCTAGGTAGCCACACATGAGTGTGAGCCTCCCCTGGATCAGACGTGGCATCCAATGAGTATAGCGTGCAGTGTGTGAACATCGCCACTGGGGAGACAAAGGCGGCCGGGCGTGGTGCTGTCCACACGTGTGCCGTGCCGGCCTTCATAGGTGCTGCTCGCTAACAGCACGTGCCCCATCGGCCAGCGAAGGCGATACGGGGGGATCTTTCTTTATCTTAAGTGCCACCGATACATTAAACCACTGCACCACAGCCGGCTTCTTCTGGGACCTTCTTTGAAGCTGTTGCGAAACATGATTCTATGGCTGGTGTTAAGCAGTAGAGTGTTTGCTACTGTGTGTCTATATGGCTCTGTGTGTGTAGGGTCGTGTGTGTGTAGGGTTGTGTGTCATGGTTCTGTGTGTTTAGAGCTGTGTGTGTGTATGGTTGTGTGTATGGTTGTGTGTGTGTAAGATTGTGTGTGTGTAAAATTGTGTGTCATGGTTCTGTGTGTATGCTTCTTTGTGTAGGGTACTGTGTGTAGGATGCTGTGTATAGGGTTATATGTGTAGGGTGCTGTGTATAGGGTTATGTGTATAGGGTATGATGTATAGGGTATGATGTATAGGGTATGATGTATAGGGTATTACGTATCGGCTGTGCGTGTGGCACTGTTGACTCTGCCAGACAGACCTCACAGAGACATACAGTATGTCACAGTCACTGAGTGCCTGGCACATGGGTTAATGATTTGAACGGGTGAGAGAGTGAGGGGGTGAGTGGATAAGCGGCAGTGTTGCTGACTTGGCAAACGAACGAGTCAACGAATGAGTGAGTGAGTTTATGAATGACTTGGCAAATGAATGAGTAAACGAATGAGTGGGTGAGTTGCTGAATGACTTGGCAAATGAACGAGTGAACGAATGAGTGGGTGAGTTTCTGGATGACTTGGCAAATGAACGAGTCAACGAATGAATGGGTGAGTTTCTGGATGACTTGGCAAATGAATGAGTAAACGAATGAGTGAGTTTCTGAATGACTTGGCAAATGAATGAGTGAATGAATGAGTGTTTGGGTGAGTAGATGAGTTACTGAAGTGACTTGGAAAATGAACTAACTGGCTGTTACTTCACTGTGGAATGGTGGGCCTACGGACTATGAGGATCTTATTTGCCAATGGGTTAATCCGGCCCTGATGGTAATGTGGAGTATTAGGGCAGTGTGGATAATTAGGGCAGTGTGGATTATCTGGACAATTGTATTTAAGGACATCCCGACTGTTTGCTGTGGGACATGAAGGACATGAAGGCATTCTCCCATTGCTGTGTACAACACAACACTCAATACAGTCAATAACACTGCCTTCAAAATAAAGAAGACAAAACCCCGTGCAATAACAGCGTGTCACAAACATTTACAACCACCACATCATTTTGTGCGAAACACTTTATTCTCGGGAGAAGAACGGTTTCACACGGAGGCATTTCGCGATAGATATCATCATACAGGGGGGGGGGGGGTTGTGGTTAGATATATAAATGTGTCGTTAAACCCGCCACCACCCGACACAGCTAATTAGTAAGGTTTGTCACGTAAACAGAACGTGCCAATTCGTTACAACCACAACCAAAACAAAAAAAACTGTATTACGTAAAAGGGTATTGACCCGAAAAGTTGCTCATGATATATTGATTCTGCCGGGTTCGTCGTGTTATTGACGAGTTCTGTACAAATAACACGAGAGCGCACACACGCACGCACACACGCACGCACGCACACACACACGCACACGTGGAGATGTGGGTCCCGTATCACATCGGGACGCGTGGCAACCGCTCCAGGGCTGCCCGGCCTCTCTGCACACGGCACAACGTGGGGGGCGGGGCGGCGGGGGGGGGGTCTCTGCACACCTCCCGCGTCTCTGCTGCTGCTGCTGACGCTCTTATTGCTGCACACGGCCCCACGTGGGAACGTGCGGGCCGTGACGTAGGGAGGGCGAGGGGGGGGTGTCCCCCCATCTCTGCACACGGAACCAACCACGTGGGTGGGTCGGGAGGGGGGGGTCCCATCTCTGCACACGGAACCAACCACGTGGGTGGGTCGGGAGGGGGGGGTCCCATCTCTGCACACGGAACCAACCACGTGGGTGGGTCGGGAGGGAAGGGGGGGTGTCACCCATCTCTGCACACGGGACAAACCACGTGGGTGGGTCGGGAGGGGGGGGTCCCGGCTCTGCACACGGACCCGCTCGTGCCTGTGTGCGTGTGGGGAGCGGTGGGGTAGCGGTTAGCGCTACGCAGCGCTACGAACCCGGCGACCCGAGTTCGATTCCAGCTCACGGCCAACACCGGTGACGATTATCTGAACCGGTCCAGGGCCCTTCCCCTAGGTCGACTCGGCGTCAAATGAGTACCTGTGTAAAACATCGCCACTGGGGAGACAAAGACGGCCGCGCGTGGTGCTGGCCACCCACCCCCTCGTGTGCCGTGCCGGCCTTCATAGGTGCTGCTCGCTAACAGCACTTGCCCCTACAGTCTGTTAAGGCTACACGGGGGATCTTTGTGTCGTGCACCCGGCACTTGCTTCAAATCTGCTCAAGCGATCCGGGGAATTTTGTCTTTGCACGCGGCGCGCGATTGGTGGCGCAGCGATTAGCGCAGCGCTCCGAACCCGGCAGAGATCCGAGTTCGATTCCCGCTCACGACCACCACCGGCACCGCTGACGATGATCTGAACCGGTGCCGGGCCTCCCCTAGGTCGACTCAGCATCAAACCTGTGCGTACCTGGTTTCTTTGGTGTGTAAACCTCTCCACTGGGGAGACAAAGGCCTTAATCTAAGTTGTCCTGTGGTTGTTGTTGGTTGACTTGCATCCCACTGGAAAAGACAGCAATATTTTGTGTTTGCACTTAGTCACATTTTCACTTCAAGATTTTTTTTGTTCATCTTCTTGGTTCTTTCGGTAAAGTCACGTGACTTTACCGAAAGAACCAAGAAGATGAATCCCTGCAGTCACGAAAGCTTTAAATCGAAATGTTTTGTTCATGTTTTTTGTTTGTTGCGGTTGCACCCGATTCAAGAGCCGAATGGCTCACAGGGCTTTACCTAATACATGAACTTGAACTTGAAAGGCGGCCGGACACGTAAGTGCTGTCCCACCCCCCCTTACTGGACATCTGTGAAAAAATATCTTTATAGCTCATCGGATTCCGGGCCGTCATAGGTGCTCGCCCCAACGGTGTTGTTAAGGCGGCTACACGGGGAATATTTTACTGGTAGGAACCTCCTGGTTACACCAGCCCACAGGGGATTATTGTGTCCGTCCGTCCGTCGTGTATCAAAAAATGGGAGGGGTGGGGCTGGGTGGAGAGGGGCTGGGTGGGGAGGGGCTGGGTGGGGAGGGTGGGGCTGGGTGGGGAGGGTGGGGCTGGGTGGGGAGGGGCTGGTCACCGCGTGGTGCCCTTATAAAACTCAACGTTTAACCTACTCACGCCGGCTTGTGCCCGCCCTCACAGTCGGCCATATTTGTGGAATACACCACGCCGCCGTTGACCCTGCAGGCCATTGACCGAGCAACCCGACGTTCCTACCAGCTCCCTCCGCAGGAATGTGTTGTCTTGCGCCAGGCACGCTGTGTCACAATCACCCTTGCGGAACAAATCTCCAGCAACAATACCATAGTCGACCATTGTCAACCAGACCCCAGAAACCCCACGGGTCGACTCCCGATGTGGGCGCCTGCCTGTGTTGGGGTGTGTAAGCACGTTGGACTTCTTTCGCACCGTACGTCGCCAAATCGTGCTAATCGGGGGTGCGGGAGTATGTTCTTTGGGGCCGTCCATAAATGACGTCACGCACCTGGGCGGGGGGGGGGGGTTGAGAAATGTGACGTCACATCAAAATGCACAACTTTAACAACATCAGAGTGCAGCACCACATTAAATACGCACTACAATGACAATACTGTAGTTTAAAGCAATTGGAAGCATGTTTTATTTTCAAAATGGAAATATGGTCTTTTGGGGGGGGGGGGGGCAGAGCTTTGTGACGTCATATTTTAGGGGGTCAGACTTTTTGTGACGAGGGGGGGGGTCGTCATTTATGGACGGCCTCTTTACCCCCTTTATGGGTCTCCTCCTGCATCTCAGTTTTCCTCTCGTACCTGTCAACCCAAACTGTTCAGCCCGTATTCTTGTGCAGGGAAATCGAGTTTTCAGGTCCACACGTCGTACAGTCGTTTCAATACGGGCACAAAGATTAAAATGTGTTGTCTATGCGTTTGTGTTTCTCCCTTGTGATGGGACTTTGTAGGATGAACGTTGAGATGTGTAAGGGCACGGGGTGACCAGTAAGGTCTGAGTTGGTGTTGTAATAAGGTAGGGCACTGATAAGGGGTTGACGGCTTTGTCCTGTCGTAGCTAAACCCACACACACTGTGGAACTGGTGTTGATCAAAACATCCCAATGCTTGAAAAATGCCTCGCAAATTACTCTTTATGGGATCGTACAGTAGCAGCAGCAGCAACATCGACATCCCTGTTGCGAAAATATTGAGACTCGGTGATGGCTTTCCTTGGGTTAAACAAGCGAGAAAAACAAGGGGCATGGCCCGAAACGTCGCCTATTAAATACTTGCCCCCTTTTAAGACCACACACACACACGGAGGCACGGTGCTGTTCGTGGTGAATGTGTTGAGCTTATACCTGTGCTCTGTACACGACTGATAACGCAGCAGGCACCAAATGTCTATTTGTTATCGATTTTTTTTTTACCTTTCATAGCACTCCTATCGTGTTGTTTGTGTCTTGTTTGTTGTTATAACGTTCTGACCCCGTGCCCCCTACTGGACATCTGTGGGAAAAGCGCGTTATAGCTCATCGGATTCCTCCTCCTGCAGTATCAAATATTCCGACAGACAACACATTGTCTTGCGGAGGGAGCTGGTAGGAACGTCGGGTTGCTCGGTCAATGGCCTGCAGGGTCAACGGCGGCGTGGTGTATTCCACAAATATGGCCGACTGTGAGGGCGGGCACAAGCCGGCGTGAGTAGGTTAAACGTTGAGTTTTATAAGGGCACCACGCGGTGACCAGCCCCTCCCCACCCAGCCCCACCCTCCCCACCCAGCCCCACCCTCCCCACCCAGCCCCTCCCCACCCAGCCCCTCTCCACCCAGCCCCACCCCTCCCATTTTTTGATACACGACGGACGGACGGACACAATAATCCCCTGTGGGCTGGTGTAACCAGGAGGTTCCTACCAGTATAACGTGCAGTAGTTACCCATCACGAATGCCACCGTTCTGTGGGGCTCGCATGGCAGGCAGGACGCGTCGTGGTCGAGACGGAGAGCGGAGCGGCAACCGAGAGATGGAATGTGTCTGAGTGGAACCTCCAATGGGGAGATGGAGCGATGGATCGTCGCATGGCCGGATCGTGAGAGGTGGCGGCGACGGCCTGGGGATATCTTCCACTCAGCAGTGGGTTGAGCATGGATGATGATGATGATCATCATGTGCACTGCAGTCTATAAAGATGACTTGGTGTTGTGTATGATACAGTCTATAATATTCTTGGTTCTTTCGGTAAAGTCACGTAGAAGGGAAGTAATAAAATAATAAAAATAGAATATAATAAAACAATTCTCACGACGTTTCGGCCACAACGCAAGCAGCCGTCCTTTCTACGTGACTTTACCGAAAGAACCAAGAAGATGAATCCCTGCAGTCACGAAAGCTTTAAATCGACAGTCTATAATGTAGACTGTCTGGTAATGCGGCGTTGGCATCCTGTATACTCCAATAGGCGATGTTTCGGGAAATGGGCCTTCGTCAGGATCATTGTCATTATTTACACAAACTTGGTCAGAATCATCAGTGTCATCATTACTACTGTACTTTCATCCATATCATTGCTAGAAATCATCATCATCCCACGTGTGCTTTGAAGGGCCATTGCCCCGAAACGTCGCCTATTATATTTGTTTAGAAAAAGGCCACACTCGCGGCGCTGTTATCAATGCATGTGCCGAGTTTGTTCCGCCGACGCATACATCCGTAAACCACCAGCAGCGCACTATGAAGAAGGGTCATTGCCCGAAACGTCGCCTATCACACATGTTCATATCATGGTGACACGGGGACATATTGGGGAGGGAGGGAGGGGTGCGGGCGGGGCGGGGGACGTGACGTCACACGCGGGGTGACGTGAGTGACGTCACACGTGCCGTGCGCAGACGACTACGCACCCCCCCCTCTACGAACCCCCCCACCCGCATACCCCCCTTCCCCTTTTGCGCACGGCCCAGGTGACCACGTGGGCGGGGCTTGGGGCTATTTAAAGGGACAGGGCAGGGACAGGTAGCCACAGTCGGACTCAGTCTCTTCTCATCTCGTCTCCTCTCCTCACCTCGTCTCCTCACCTCGTCTCCTCACCTCGTCTCCTCACCTCGTCCCAGCGAAAGCATCCTGCAGACATGTCGGACGTCAATCCATGCATCTGCGCCGTGGGTGAGTTGCCAACCCCATCCTTGTGTTGTGTGGGAGCTGCTGTATGTTGCTGCTGTTGTTGGTTGTTGTTGATTTTGCAAACGTTGATGCGACTTGAGTGCTCGTTGCGTCATTGCTGGGGAGCGGTGGCGCAGTGGCTAGCGCTCGCTGCTGCTTGGAGCAAAATAGATCTTGGCAACCAAAATAATCAGAGGAGGAAAAAAATTGTTATTTTTTTTTATCGAATTCGAGTAAAAAAGGACAAGAATATTTCAAGAGCCGCGCAGTTGCACTGTGTGGTGACTACGATACGATGTGGTCCTTGATGATAAGGGACTGCTTCCGTGACGTTAAATATATATATTTTAAAGAGCCACCGCATTGGGGCTCTGGAACCGCAGGTTTCCGACCTGTCATAGAAGGCCGGGGATTGCCAACCCCGCCTCTGCTGACGACCTAACAATGAGTGGGGAAGGCTTCATCCACGGTGGATTGATCGTGGCTTGTGTGTCTGTAGGGGTAATGGTGCGGAATGTAACGGTATACGTGCGTGCGTGTGTGGGAGTCCGCTATTGCGTGTGGCTGTGTCATAAATTTGACGTGTGGGTGGGGGTGGGGAGCGGTGGCGCAGTGGTTGGGACACACTGCGCCACAGGAACCCCGCCATGATCGGTCATGGGTCTGGCTTTGGGTTGACTCGGCCTTAAATTGTTGCTGTGCTTGGTGCGGCGTGAATATCCGCACTGGGGAAATGAAGGTGGCCCCGTGCTGGCCACCCCCTCGTGTGCCGTGCCAGCCTTCATAGGTACACTCGTTCACGGCACTTGCCCCAACAGTCTGTTACAGGCTATACGGGGGATCTTTGTCTCCTCATCAGCCGCCGGGCAGATAAAACGCAGCGAGTTTGCTCAGTGGGGGGCACGGGTGGTGCATCTACAGGTCGTCTCAGTCGGTCAACCCATGGCACCTGCCTGTCCCGTGACCCCCTGCTGCACCTAGCCTGGCACGGCAGTCAACCCATGGCACCTGCCTCTCTCCCGTGACCTCCTGCTACACCTAGCCTGGCACAGCAGTCAACCCATGGCACGTGTCTGTCCCGTGACCTCCTGCTGCACCTAGCCTGGCACGGCAGTCAACCCATGGCACGTATCTGTCCCGTGACCTCCTGCTGCACCTAGCCTGGCACAGCAGTCAACCCATGGCACGTGTCTGTCCCGTGACATCAGTGCCGCTTAGTGGCGAACTGCGGTTACTATTGTTGCTGCGTGTGTGTGTGTCGTGGATGTACCCGCAATTGCGAGGCTGTGTGTAATGTATGGGCTGTGTCGCTGTGTGTCTCCTCTCTCTCTCTCAGGCTCTTGCAAGTGTGCCGATGGTGACTGCAAGTGCAGCGACTGCAAGTGCGCGTGTGGGTGCAAGACTGGCGCTGCAAAACAGAGCGGTGAGTTGTTCACTTCTTCGTCATCGTCGTCGTCGTCGTCATCGTCGGTGTCACGATTAAAACTCGACAAAAAACGATTAACTTTTATTTTTATTTCACCGGATAAGCGCCCACTGAGCTGTGCCGCAGCTCTTTTTCAGAAGCTACTTGGCCACGAGTGATGGCTCAACGAAGTGGCTTATCATCGTCATCAATCACGGGGACATTTATAGCAGCAGACAAAGACGCTAAAACGCGGGATGTTGATTCTAAATACGGAGAAAAATCCACGCGACCACGGGGAGAAAAAGACGCAGACTCCAGCAGGCATTGGGCTCGAACTCACGACCTCCTGCATACCAGGCGAGGTAGTTAACATCTCCTAGCTACCGCGACGCCACCCCCCCTCCCCACGATTAACACCATCAGAATCCTCAGCATTGTCACTTCTAACATCGCTTGCGAGAATCACCGTCGTGGTTCATCATGAGCATCGGTCTCGTTGGCATCGACGTTTCTTTAATCTTTAGCCAGGTGATATCTCGAGACCAGGAAGAGTAGAGTCGTCATTCTTCATTCGGGATAGCATCGTGACACTTCTTGACGGCATCACCGGCAGAATCGCAGCAATAACTTGGAACGCACCCAGACCCCGGGAGTCGAACCCAGCCTCTGTGTTTCTTGACCACGGGAAGACGCCCAGACCGTCTCCCGAGACCCATCGTGTATGCTCCATGACAAAGATCCCCCGTGTAGCCTGTAACAGACTGTTGGGGCAAGTGCTGTTAGCGAGCACCTATTGAAGGCCAGAAACGGCACACGAGGGGGTGGTTGGCCAGCACCACACCCGGCCGCCTTTGTCTCCCCGGTGGCGATGTTTACACACCGCACCGGGTACTCATTTGAGGCCGAGTCAACCTAGCTCAGGACCGGTTCCGATGATCGTCAACGGTGTTGTCCCCCATGACGCACACACACTACACGTACACTACCATCCCGCTGGGTCTGCAACCTATTTGTTGTTGTACCCCCCCCCCCCCCCACAGGCTCCTGCTGCTCCTGCTGCCCCGCCGGCTGCCCCAAGTGCGGCGACGGCTGCGTGTGCAAGGGCTGCACGGGCGGCAGCTGCTCCTGTTGCACCTGAAACGGGCAGGGCAGGTGAGGCCTCGCAGCAGATGCGTTCACACGCACATCAGTCGGGGGGAGGGGCAGGGGAGGTCGGGGGGAGGGGGGCAGGGGAGGTCGGGGGGAGGGGGGCAGGGGAGGTTGGGGGGGAGGGGCGGGGGAGGTTGGGGGGGAGGGGCGGGGGAGGTCGGGGGGGGGCGGGAGGTTGGGGGGGAGGGGCGGGGAGGTCGGGGGGGGCAGGGGAGGTCGGAGGGGAGGGGCAGGGGAGGTCGGGGGG